GGAACTCCAAGGCCCAGCCGGCCACCGCCTCCAGTAGGCCTGACAGGGTGGCTGCTGGTGCGCTAGGTGGCCGGTACACCAGCCAGACAGCCAAGCTCACCTCAGAGCCCCACACTAGGCCAACACATTCAATGCCAGGGATCGATGGCGATGGTAGAGCCCTGAAAGGACAATCTTCCCGGATTAATAATGCCACCCCTCCCCCGGCCCACAGTCCGTGACTGGTGGAGGACGGAGAAACCCGGGGCGCCATCTCTCGTAAGGTAACTGTTGCCCCTTCGCGTACCCAGGTCTCCGTCACACAAGCCAGGTCAACCCCCTGCGAGGTAAAGAAATCTCGCAGAGTGGCGGTTTTGTTGCCTATAGACCTGGCATTGCACAACACCAGTGACGGAGGTGAGTAATCCTTGCTCACCCTACCCTCGTCCCTTGGGATGGGGCGCAGATTGGAAGGGGTACGAGCGTATCCGTATCTCGATCCCCTTCGCCTATGACATCTGCCCCCACCACCATACCTCCCTCGCCCCTCCACGGTAGCAATCCCAAGCCTCGTACAAGCCTCCATTTACAAAATAGAAAACCAAACCAAACTGAAAACAATTCTACCTAAGCAAAACCAATCCCCACCCCAAACCACAATAAAACAGAACAAAATAAAAATACATAGATAAAAACCACTGTTCACGGTGGTACAATAAAGTAAAAAGTAAAAACACCTTTAAAATACTTTAAAATATATAAAAACATTTTTAACAATTGCTGCGGCAGCACCAGTGTCCTTAAAACTTTAGCGGAGGTGAGTCTGGGCCCCGCCCCCTAGGCCAGGTGGAATCAGCCTGAAGAGGGGGCGGCCTTCCCCAACACTCACGGTGCAGCAGCACCGTGTTTGTATACTTCTTCTGTAAATCTCTGGTCCTGCAGGTTTCGAATCCTTCCTGTCCTTTTGTCCAGTTCTGCATAGTCCATTAATTTCGTCTGCCATTCTTCTTTCGTCGGAATTTCTTCTTGTTTCCATTTCTGGGCTAACAATACTCTTGCCGCAGTTGTTGCATATAAGAACAGTTTAACATCTTGCCTTCTCCTGCCTCTGATTCTCCTGCCTCTCGTCTGTTCCAGGTTACCCAGATCACAGATCCCTTCTTCTAAGTCAGTCCTCAACCCCCCTTTTCCCGGTGTCCACTCCTCAGTGTCCAGCCAGTCCCTGACACCCTTTCACAGCACGTCAGCAGCAGTATATAAATACCTGCCAGCAATCATTCAGAGGAAAGCTCACACGGCTGTCTCTGTCTCTGTCTCTGTGGCCTCATGTCGCACCTACTTAGAGCACACAAGGAGGGATTTTGGGTGGTGATAACTATGGGGAAAGGGTCCTTGGCACAATGAGATAAGCACAAATATAGGAAGAGCACATTGCTAATACTAATTGTTAAGTTGTGGGTGAACATATCAGACGACACAGCGATTCTTCAAACAGCTCTTGTTTATTCAGAGGCCAGAACAGAACTGAACTGAAGGGTTCAGCCAGCCTGCTTATATAGAGCTCCAGTACAATGTAACTTTAACAATTTTTTAAAACTATCCAATCACTGAACATCACTTTCGATTCCTTATTTGCATAACTATCTACAGCATCCCCCTGCTGGCCCAGGGTGAGAACTTCAGTACATAACACTTATATTTTCCAAAACCTTGCAGCAGGGCTGGGGAACCGATGGCTCTCCAGATCTCTCTAGACTTGCACCCCCATTATTTGCAACCATTGGTTATGCCAGCCAGGGATGATGAAGGTTGCAGTCCCTCCACAACACCTGGAGGTGAGTAAGAGGAGACGGGAGAGAAGTTTATAAAATTAAGCCCGGCATGAAGAAAGTAGATAGAGAAAAGTTTTTCTCCCTCATAACAGTCATGGACATTCAATGAAGCTGGATGTTGGCAGATACAGGAAAGATGAAAGAAATGGGTGAGAACAGGACTCTTGTCGGCATCAATAAATTAAGCTGGGTAGGTATTTTCAAATATCAAAATACAATTATGGGGGCAGCTTCATCTGTTGACATTCTGCATTGCTTGTGTGCAGCACTCCGATTTACTTTTGGGCTCTAACCCGTCTCCCACCTGCAAAAAGAGGACACACATTTGCATATGACTTAATGTGTACGCAAACTTTATACCATTCTGAGTCTTTTTTGCAAGTGTGCAGATGGCTCAAGTCATGTGCACATGTACAGTGGTACCTCGGGTTAAGTACGTAATTCGTTCCGGAGGTCCGTTCTTAACCTGAAACTGTTCTTAACCATAAAGAAGGCTGATCGCCGAAGAATGGATGCTTTTGAATTCTGGTGCTGGAGGAGACTCTTGAGAGTCCCATGGACTACAAGAAGATCAAACCTATCCATTCTGAAGGAAATCAGCCCTGAGTGTTCACTGGAAGGACAGATCCTGAAGCTGAGGCTCCAAGACTTTGGCCACCTCATGAGAAGAGAAGACTCCCTGGAAAAGACCCTGATGTTGGGAAAGATGGAGGGCACAAGGAGAAGGGGACGACAGAGGACGAGATGGTGGGACAGTGTTCTCGAAGCTACCAACATGAGTTTGACCAAACTGCGGGAGGCAGTGGAAGACAGGAGGGCCTGGTGTGCTCTGGTCCAGGGGGTCACGAAGAGTCGGACACGACTAAACGACTAAACAACAACAATGGGATGACACTTGGATAAGAACAGGGGTCTTTTAACCGGCCCATGAGCCGCCCCCGAAACAAGCCGCCCGCTCAGCGAGTCCCAGCGCACTGCGCTAAAGTGACACAGCACGGCACAGGGACTCACTTCTGCTGTGCTGGAAATTGTGTCTGCGCATGCACAGATGCCAAAAATTGCGTCTGTGCAGGCGCAGGTGTTGGAAATGGCAGGTGCACATGCATGAGCATACACACAATCTGGCCCATGAAGGGATCTCTGCTGGAGCAAACTGGCCCAGGCAAGGGAAACCTTGCCGACCCCTGGATATTATGTACATAAAATGCGGCATTTGAAGGCATTGTATTTAAAATACTGTAACGGGAAGTTTACCTTTGGCAAAAAGGTTCCACTCTGGCAGAAGCGGCAGAAAAGGAAGGTGTTTATTCATTGGCGTGAGATAAGCTACCCTGATGACTCACCTCCGGAAACATGAGCTGCAGGGCTCTCACAGCAGGCAGCTGAACCTTGAGAAGCCAGAGGAGCAGTGGCTACAGATAAGTTCTGCAATGGTGAACAAGCTTAGGAACCCCCTCTGGGACCAGAGAAAGGAACGCTTACTGAACTACATAAAGGGCGGAACCTCATTGCAATGTGTTACTTTGTTACTTTATAACGTTATCTTACCGTATAGTGGTACCTATAGTACTTAATTTGTACAGTACTTAATTTGTTCTGGAGGTCCGTTCTTAACCTGAAACTGTTCTTAACCTGAAGCACCACTTCAGCTAATGGGGCCTCCTGCTGCCACCGTGCCGCCGGAGCACAATTTCTGTTCTCATCCTGAAGCAAAGTTCTTAACCTGAAGCACTATTTCTGGGTTAGCGGAGTCTGTAACCTGAAGCGTATGTAACCTGAAGCGTATGTAACCCGAGGTATCACTGTACAGTCAAACCTTAGCTCTTGAACGGATCCATTTTCAAACATTTCCGCTCCTGAATGCTGAAAACCCGGAAGTAAATGCTCCGGTTCAGTTTTTTCGGAACCCGAATGTCCGGTGTGGCTTCTGTTTTGAGTTTCCCTATTGAATTGAGGCTTCCGCTTTCTGTTTTCGGATATTTCGGAAGTCAAACAGTCTTCCAGAACGGATTACATTAGAAAACCGAAGTTCCACTATAACTAGTATTTAAGACTGTTCTACCCAATGCTGAACTGCTCTAACAGGGTCATGCAGAAGCAGCGATCTCGACAGCAGCTGTCACTGCACCCCCCTGCGTAATCCCACTGCCTCAAGTGCCTGTTTCAGTCTTCCTTGTGGTCTGGCAGCCCTGTGTGGGATGCACTGGATCCACTTTAGACTGCTAGGAAAGTTAGTTCAGGCACTACCTTGCATGTCTGCAGGATTAAACACTGAAAGGGAAGAGAAGGGGAGTTCCTCCCAAACAAAAGATTACTATAATGTCTGAACATTTTGTCTTGTATCTCAAGTTCTATCACTGCTAGAAACTTGCCTTTTTCTTTTTCTTTTTAAAAAAAATAAATAAAGCTGAGAATTGGAGGATTGTGGTTTTTTTTTGCAGGGGAGGGTGCAGCTGCAGCGAAGACAGATGCGAATAATTTCTCTAGTTTCTCTGCTATCTCCTTCTCCTTTTGCACACCTTTCATCCTTGCCAAGTTAGGCAGATCACTGCACAAAGACCACTTTCTGCCTCACCTGCCTGCAATATTGCAGGGCTGTCCTGAGCCCCCCTGCCTCGCCCCCTGCTCCCCCACCCGCAACATGGAGGGGCATAGTGGAAATAATAGCCTTTGTTGGCATTAGCAACTTGCCTAGAAGGGACATTTCCCCCCCCCCCAAAAAATTTTTTTATTGGTTTTCACAATATTATAAACAAACAAACACATAAGACGAACAACCATAAATCACAGCCTTATTGAAAATTACACTTATTAACTTTGTTAAATGACTTCCCCGCTTCCCCTTGGTTGAATTTCATTGCATATCCTTTTAAGAGGACAATTTATTTATTTTTTAGATGTTTAAACAAAAAAAAAAAAAAGGGAATGTTTCGTGAGAAATAAGCCCTGAGTGTTTATTTTATTTTATTTTTAGGGCACAAAACTCCTCGGATTATTCTGATTCTGGGGGGTGTTGGCTGGAAAATAACCCAAGCCGGGAGAAATCTCTTCTGGCACCAGCCGCTCTCCCTTCCTCAAAATGGCTTCTCTTCTAGGCAGTCGAACCCGGAAGCCTCCCGCGCCGGAAAAGGAGGAGGCCGCTCTCTCCCTTCTTCTCTCTGCGGCGGAGGCGGGAGGGAGCGCTTCCGGGTCAAGGGGCTCTGACCTTGGGCGCCCGCTGCGTCCCGGCCGCGCTCAAGATGGCGGAGCCGCCCTACAAGCCGGCGCCCCTCTTCCCGCGCCCGCCCCAGCTCGAGCCGGCCCAGTACGACGCCTCGCCCCGGCAGCGCGCCGCCGAGGCCGAGCGCGTGGCCATCCGCTCCCGCCTCAAGCGCCACTACCTGCTGGAGCTCAACGACCCCCGGAGGACCAGCATCGTGAGTGGGGGCGAGTCGGGGGTCGAGGGCAGAGGGCAGCGCGGCCCAAACCACACCTCCCATCACTCCTTGCCCCCGGGCCTGGCAGCGAGGGATGATGGGAGTTGTAGTCCAACCGCAGCGGGAGAGAGACCCCCAAGTTTGGGGAAGAAGGCTGCTTTAGGGCCTTGGAGACCCCTAAGCTCAGTTTAAAATGAAGGCAAGAGAAGGAAACGGGGGGAGGGGTCGGGGGGAGGGAGCATTTTCTGAACTTCCAGTCAGCTGCAAGTTTGAATAATAATAATACAGTGGTACCTCTAGATACGAACAGGACCCATTCTGTAGCCCCGTTCACATCTAGAAGCAAACGTAATTTGCAACGGCACGTCTGCGCACACACACGTCGCCTTTTGCCGCTTCTGCGCATGTGCATAATGTCATTTTGAGCATCTGCGCATGCGCAAGCAGCAAAACCCAGAAGTAATGCGCTCCGTTACTTCCAGGTTTCCGCAGAGCGCAACTCGAACGCGCTCAATTCGAAGTGTATTCAACCCGAGGTATGACTGTAATAGTAGTAGTAGTAGTAGTAGTTTAGTCATTTAGTGGTGTCCGCCTCTTTGTGACCCCCTGGACCAGAGCACGCCAGGCCCTCCTGTCTTCCACTGCCTCCCGCAGTTTGGTCAAACTCATGCTGGTACCTTCGAGATCATTGTCCCACCATGCCTTGCCGTGGCGAAGGGGCTTGAATAACTCGGAGAAGCTATGAGCTCTGCCGTGCAGGGCCACCCAGAATGGACAAGTCTTAGCGGAGAGTTTTGACCAAACGTGATCCACCTGGAGCAGGAACCGGCAAGCCACTCCAGTATCCCTGCCAAGAAAACTCCATGGACAAAGACAACAGGCATATAAAAAAGTAGTAGTAATAGTAATAAGAATAATTTGTTACTTATACTCCACCCATCTGGCCGGACCACCCCAGCCACTTTGGGCAGCTCCCAACAGAATATTAAAAACATGACAAAACATTCCCGCTTTGACTGGGGTATGTCTTCCTCTATGTTCTGTATGGGGTTTGCCAGGTGCTTTATTGTTTAAATATTCATACACACACACACACATACATATGGGGTGTATGGGTGCAAGAGGAGGGGTATTACCTCTGGTGGGAAACACGCTGTGCTCCCCCCGGGGTAGTTTGTCCATCTTTGGTCCCCACCCTGCACTCGGCTATCACCTGTGGCTCCTAGAAGCTGTCAGCAGGCAACAGTGGCCACAGTCCGGGAACAGCTTTGAACAGTGGTCTAAACCAGGTGAGGGGAGCCAATGGGCCTCAAACCCTCAGGGAGTAAGGGACTTTGCCTGCATGCAAAGTCAGGCTCCTGCGGATTGAGCAGACGAGACCAGTAGTGAGTCCAATGGTCAAGTTGGTTTTTGCACGGGCTGTAGAGGGAAGTGAGGGGTAGATGGGGCTCATCCACCTGGGAAGAAAATCCATCTAGGAGAAGGAAAATTCTGATCCTAAAATTCTGCTGTCTTGTGGGATATCTTCAGGAGAAAGAAAAGCTAAGGAGTAAGCCGTACACAAATCCAGAGTGGAGTCCCTAAGACGGTTGGCTGGTGCCTTGGTGCACATCCTTCTGCTGCAGCCACGCTGGTCCAAACATATTGCTCTGCTTTCCTTTGGACCACATCAACAATTGCAGGGTCTTGTCATCTGGGCAGCCCAGGACCTCCATACACACTGCTCAGGCTTGAGCCCAGGAGAGGACACTTCAGTGCTGCTAATGCAGCGGTTTGACTTCACCCCCAGAGATGCACTTCATTGTCTCTCGAGATAGATGGATGCCACACACACACACACACACACACACACTTAACATAACCAGAGGTAGAGCCATAGCTTAGTGGCTGGGGATCTGCTGTGCAAGCAAAGGGTCCCAGTACGCAGCAAAAAAAACCAATCTGCTAGCACATTTGCAGAGCTAAGTAGAGTCTGCTGTGGTTTCATACTGGGTGGGGGACGGCACGTTGAGATTCCTGCATTGCTGGGGTTTGGACTAGATGACCCTTGGGGGTCCCTTCCAACTCTATGATTTATGAATTCCCCAACATCTCCAGGACGCCTGCCTGATGTTCCTGGGCTACAGCTCCCATCATCCCAGGGCTGGTGGTCAGAGATGATGGGAGTTGCAGTCCAGGTTGAGAAAGGCTGGCACATAAACAGGACTGAGCTACATGGACCGGTGGTCTGACTCAGCGTAAGGCAGTGTCCTATGTTCCTTTCTGTTATAATTCACATATTAACATATTTCTGTTATAATTCACATAATTCCTTTCTGTTATAATTCCCCTGCATAATCCAGGGGAAACAACCCCACTCTTATTATCTTCTGCATTTGCCTGTGGTTGCACTTTGTGCCTAAGATGTACAGTAGATTACAAGTGTCAAGGTGAGAGCTGACATTACCTGGGTAGCGTTGGTTACAGCGCACATTTGGGCAGATGTTCACTATCCTCTCTCTGCTTTAGGATGACCCCGCTGTGACTCGTTGGGTTTACGCCCGAATGTACAACGCCTATCCTAATTTCCGTGTTACCCCAAAAACTTCACTACTGGGAGCTGCTTTCGGACTAGGGCCCATTTTTTTCTGGTGGTATGTCTTCAAAACGGACAGGGTAAGGCTATAAGTATGTGATCTTAGACAACTGTGTAGTGTGAGATCCAGTAACTGGATTTACTAGTATAAATGGTTTGCTGCACAGGAACACTAGGTTTCGGGAGAGGCATATCATAATGGGAAATATGCGTTCTGCTTGATCACACCTTCCTCAGTCCCTTTCCCCTGTTATTTTTGTATCAATCTGGGGACTCTTGACAATTGACAACAATTCTGATTTTTTTGGCATCCAAAACACTGGTTTCCATATTTCAGAAATGTTGTTCAGTTAGCTTTTTTGGTGGGAAAGCTCTTGATGTTCCTTCAGTGATGCACAAATAATTGGATAAATTAAAGGTGGCAGGTTATTGCAGAAAGAAAGCAGCTCAGTGAGTGGAGTAGGGGATTAAAACCCTGCAAACAATTGAAATCAAAAACAGTAATCAACCTTGCTCATAATTTTCATTGTGTAGCAATTGTTTTCCTGTTGCCATTTATTTATTTTTAGGATTTCTTGCCTGTCATTCACCTTAAGATCCAGGGAACGTTACAACAAAGCAACAATAAAATTTACAATTGAAAAAACCAAACACAATAAAACACCAAAAACACAATATAAAACGTAGACTAAAGGAAGTCCTTAACATAAAATAACTCAGCTGTTAGAAGCAGATGAAGGGGTGTGTCTTCAGCATATGACAAAAGCAGTACAATAATGATGCTCAACGTGCCTCTTTGGGGATGGAATTCCACAATTGGGAGGCTGCAACAGATAATGCTTTGCCCGGGTCACTGCCTGGACTAATGGTGCAGAATTACCAAGGCGGCTCTCTGCTAATTTTAACATCCAAGAGGAGGAAACCTTTCAGAAATTTGGGGCCCAATTCGTTTAGGGCTTTGAACATTAAGAATAATAATATCCTTGAACTGAGTCCAGGAACAAATTGGGAACTGGTGCGGCTGCTTCAGAACAGGAGTTATATCAGTTCTAAATTAGGCATGGGCAAACTTGGCCCTCCAGATGTTTTGGGACTACAACTCCCATCATCCCTGACCACTGGTCCTGTTAGCTAGGGATGATGGGAGTTGTAGTCCCAAAACATCTGGAGGGCCAGGTTTGCTTATGCCTGTTCTAAATGGTACCCAGGAAGTAATCTGGCAGCTGCATTTTGGAGCCGTTGGAGATTTCACACCATCTTCAAGGGCAGTCCCACGTAGAGTGCACTGCAGTAGTCCTGGAGGCGTCCCAAGGCCAAGTAATGAAGAGGCAATAGCTGGCTAATTAGCCATAGCTGAAAATAGTCACTGCTAACCACCAGGCCATCTAACCCTCCACTGATAACTGATCCAGGAGTAGCCCCAAGCTGCAGCCTTCCTTTCAGAGGAGTGTAGCCTCTTCAAAACAGTCCATCTCTCCAACTCTCACATTCTAGAACTTAACAGCATACAACACTTCTGACTTTCGTTAAATTGCCCTGAAATATTTAAATTGAAAGCGGGTGTAAAAATACTTTAATAAAATAAAATGTTTACTCAGAAGTCTCATTGCTTGGGCTTAGTATCTAGTTAGGGCTGCAGTCTTCTGCTAACTCTGTTGTCTTTGGGCATCACTTTTGTTGGAGCATTTCTTTACCCTTGCTTAGATTGGTGATTTTTTTTCCTGTTTTTGTTTTGCACAGGATAGAAAAGAAAAGCTCATACAGGAAGGCAAGTATGAGCGACCGTTCCCTCTGTTCTATTAAGTGTCCTGTACCTGCTGCTGAAGAGGCTTGTACTCCATCTCTAACCTATTTCAAAATAAATCTCAGTTAGAAACTGGTTTGTTTCCTTTGTATTTCAAGTGCAGCACCTAAAATAAAATTTTTGTGTGTGTGCTGAAATTTATTGTGTCACTACAGCTTGCAATTCTGCTTTCAAAAGATGGGTTTTCAGATGTCTTCACATTTTCACAAATTACCGTATTTTTCGCTCTATAAGACTCACTTTTTCCCTCCTAAAAAGTAAGGGGAAATGTGTGTGCGTCTTATGGAGCGAATGCAGGCTGCGCAGCTGTCTCAGAAGCCAGAAGAGCGAGAGGGAGCGCTGCGCAGTGATCCCTCTTGCTGTTCTGGCTTAGCCGCACAAAGACTCTTCAGGGCAGCTGGCTCCTGGGATTCAGAATATTTTTTTCCTTGTTCTCCTCCTCCAAAAACTAGGTGCGTCTTGTGGTCTGGTGCGTCTTATGGAGCGAAAAACACAGTGCTGGCCAGAGGGGGGTGCAAAGGCCAGGGACAGAGGAATATTGTTTGAGCAAGTGAAGGGACAACTGACGTGAGGCCTGGTTCTTAAATCTGGCATTAGAGTTACCTCTACACAAGAGGCTACAGAATTCCGGAACCTTGTTTTCACGATAATGAGGTGACCTTCTTTACGCCTTCCGTGGAATCAATTTGTAGAAATGTAGCTTTACCCATTTCAGATCTGAGACCTGAGCCTGAAATTTGGCTATTTTCATCCACTTGGTTTCAAATGCATTTAGGTATGTCTGCTGTTTAGGTGTGGATTGTGCCATTGCTAATGTTTCAAGGATAAAATGGCTCCCATTCACCGGACTGCCACGGATTACGATAACCCCAACCAGTCTGGGAGCTGTAGCCCAACAACATGGAGGGTCACCGATTCCCACCCCCTGTTCTAGGCTAAATTACTGCCTTTGAAGGCTGTCCTCAAAACTGCAGTTAGTCCCAAATATAGCTGCCAGGATGTGACCTGGGACTGGGTGTTGGGTCACATCTCACCGGTGCTTTAACAGGTAAATTGACTCCTGGTTCATTTTCTGGTTCAAAATTCAAGTGCTGGAGATAGTTTTTAAATCCTTCTGTGTCTGGGATGTATGAAGGATCCCCTCCACATCAGCCTGCGCAAACATTTCCATCTTTAGAGGCCCTCAGGTGAGGTGGGGAGGTAACAATCAATTTCCCCAGTTGTGCCCCTAGAGAGGTTTACCTGGTGCTGCCTTGTCACCAGGGGCCAGGTTGTTTTTAACGGTAGCATAGATTTTCATTAATGTTTCATTCTTGATTAAAATCCATCATGTTTTAAAAGCTTTTTTGCTGTTAGTTTTAATTGTTTTGTAAAGTTGCTCCAGAGCAGGGGTCAGCAACCTTTTTCAGCCGTGGGCCAGTCCACGATCCCTCAGACCATGTAGTGGGCTGGACTGTATTGGGGGGGGGGGGATGAATGAATTCCTATGCCCCACAAATAACCCAGAGATGAATTTTAAATAAAAGCACACATTCTACTCATGTAAAAACACGATGATTCCCGGACCGCTCATGGGCCAGATTGAGAAGGCGATTGGGCTGCATCCGGCACACGGGCCTTAGGTTGCCTACCCCTGCCCTAGAATGTTTTTGTAATAAATTGTTGGCATCCATCTGTCTCGAGAGACAACTGAGTGCACTTCCAGGGGGTCAAGTCAAACCACTGCATTAGCAGCACTGAAGTGTCCTCTCCTGGGCTCAAGCCTGAGCAGTGTGTATGGAGGTCCTGGGCTGCCCAGATGACAAGACCCCCCCCCCTTGGCCTCACTGATGTGGTCCAAAGGAAAGCACAGCTATATGTTTGGCACCAGCTTGGCTGCAGGAGTTGCCAGATGGAAGCCTACAAGGCACCATCCAACTGTCTTGGGGACTCCAGATTTGTGGAGGGCTCAGTCCTCAGCCTTTTCTTCTCCTGAGGAAATGCCTCCCTAGGTTGAGGAGCCCCATCTGCCCCTCACTTCCATTTACAAACTGCCAAAAGTTGGATCCAATATTGTTTTTGCCCTCTCAACCCGCCACAGCCTCTTTTTGCACACGGGAAGTCCCTAACTCACCGATGGTCTGAGACCCATCCCCTATCCTCACCTGGTTTAGATGGCCAGTCAAAGCCATTTTCTGGAGTGCGGCCATTGTCATCTATTGAAACCTAAGAGCCACAGGTGAGAGCTGAGTGCAGGGTAGGGACCAAAGGTGGACAGACTACCCCACAAGGAGCATGATGTGTCCCCCACCAGAGGTTCCACCCGCCTATAACACCCCATAATTTTTTATTTAATAAATAATAAAGTAGTAATGGTACAATGGCAGTTTAGCTTGGGCAATGTGTTGAATATGATAGCTCATGAGAAGGACTTGGGTGTCACTGTATGTCAGAAATCATAAAGGCAAATTGCTAATATTCCTTTATTTTAAACTAAGAGAGAGACTCAAAAACTATCTTTCTGGTGCCAGAGAGACCAAATACAAAATCATTTTGTTACACTGGGTATTATATGATGGGAGGTTTTGGGGCTTTTACATTTTAAGCAAATGTAAAGGTGCACTTGGCAAATAAAAATTTGTAGTAGTTCTTTGGTTTTACGCTTACAGGTCATTCGTCTTGTCAGCTGTCCATGAGTTTCTGCATGTAATATGGACCAAGACACTGTTAACAGCTACACAGTTGCCTTCAGCTAAGCAGGAAAGAAAAATCAGAGTGACTGCACATCGGGATTCTTCGGATTGAAATGGCTCTTCAGGGTTTCCCAGCACTTGTAGTAGTTTTTATCTAGGGAACTTTTCAGCCCCCATTTGGTGACAGCCAAGCTAAAAGAAGACTCAAACATGAAGGCCTGCAGGAAAAGTCACATAAAACGTTGAGAAAGGGAAAGTAACTAGCAACAACCTATTAATTAAATGCAAACAGAAGTTGCTTTAACAAGAGTTGTTGCACAGTGTGTTGCGCACATGATTTGAGAGAGAATACACACGAGACCTTAAATTGTATCTAGAAGTATTGACAAGTCTAGCCTTTGACTACTCACGTTTACAAATTCTCATAAGGTTGCCCAGATATAGAGATGAATATTCAGAACTGGGTTGACTCAGCCATTAGAAGTCTACTGAGAAGCTGAATTTTGATTATCAGTAGAAATAAGCAGACTTTCATATACAGTGGTACCTTGGGTTACAAACACCTTGGGTTACAGACTCCGCTAACCCAGAAGTAGTACCTCGGGTTAAGAACTTTGCTTCAAGATGAGAAAGGAAATCACGTGGTGGCGGCACAGCAGCAGCGGGAGGCCCCATTAGCTAAAGTGGTGCTTCAGGTTAAGAACGGTTTCAGGTTAAGAACGGACCTCCGGAACGAATTAAGTTCGTAACCAGAGGTACCACTGTAGTTGTTTCATCTCATGTTGCTGAATTTTAAGACTATTACCTAATTCAATTTGCGTGGTATATTTGCATGAGCATGTCACATAGAACTTGGTAACAGGCACACAATTCTGCATATACTTTGCTAGACTTGACAAATCTGAATTCTTACAAAGCCCGAACTATTTACAAAAGGCAGCATGCCTTGGCAAGACCTCATACAGAGGCCCAAGTTCATAAAGCACCACGGATTATTCCCGTGCAAGTTAGTAAATGCACAATGCCCACAAGTGATTGCTGCTCTGCATAATCAACACCACGTGGCTGTTGTGAAGAGAGCTTTGTTCACTACCTTGCGCTCCTTGGATGAGCCGTGGAATATAAAGGAAATAAAAAATGCAATACAGTGGTACCTCGGGTTAAGAACTTAATTCGTTCTGGAGGTCCGCTCTTAACCTGAAACTGTTCTTAACCTGAAGCACCACTTTAGCTAATGGGGTCTCCTGCTGCCGCCGCGCGATTTCTGTTCTCATCCTGAAGCAAAGATCTTAACCTGCGGTACTATTTCTGGGTTAGTGGAGTCTGTAACCTGAAGCGTCTGTAACCCGAGGTACCACTGTATGTCTATAGTCTTAACATCTAACACATTCAAATTCCTTTGTAGTCTCAGGCTGCTTGGAAACCCCTTTGCACCTCAGGTTTAAAAGGAAGAAGACGCCCCCCTTTTTCCATGTTGACTTGGGACACCCATTCATCTTTGAAGCACCCTTAGGCTTCCTTAAGGCATTATTTTCATAGAATCAGCATTGTATAGTTGGAAGGGACCCCAGGGGTCCTTAGCTCCTGCAGTGCAAGAATCCCACCCACAGTCGTCCCTGGCTGGGCTCTTAGTTGCCTTCTTTTGGCAACCCACAACCACTTGACTAATATAGTTCATTCTCTGGCTAGCTAGACATTTTACTTCTCTCTCCCAATCTTTTGACTGGTCAGAAGTTATTCCCTCTTGTGGATCGTTTCCTGTGTAAAATAGGAATGACTCTTGCTGCCCAAATGGGCAACTCTTCCATTTGACTCTCCGCCTGGAGAGCAAGCTGGAAGAAAACCCCGTATTGCAGCTGCTAGGCTTCAATGTTTTAGGCTCTTACCATGGTTCCTTCTGCAATTCTCTCGGGCACCAGCTTGCTTGTGCTTGCCTTCTCAAAACAAGCGCCATCTGGCCCATGGGGCGTCATCATACTGTGAAGAGTGGCACCTCCAGCAACAAATCCTTCTTCCTTTGCCTCATAAGTCCCTTTGATCAGGCCCATAAACTCACTCATGCAGTTCCCTGTGGAAATTAAAAAGGGGGAAAGTCACAGCCGGTCTGCAATTTGGCCACCGTGGGAGTTGGTCAGCTATGTTGTAGAGGCTCAAGTCTGTCGTAGAATTGGAGATATCTGAACCACGTTACAGATGCTTTGAGATGTGATGGTCCTTACCCACTCATTATTAAATTAAGATTTTCTAATTCTTTAGAAAAAGAATTATTGAGATCTCAATTTCAACCACACAGGAAACTGTTTTAACTGCTATAACAAGGGTGTCTCTGGATCTTAAATTGAGGCTCATACAACAAAAAAATAATATTTAGAATATACTGGACCCCATTACGTTTGTTTAAAAAAGGGCTGTCTAACTGTTGGAAATGCAATAGGGATAATGCTTCTCTAAAACATTTGTTTTTTCATTGTCCTGTATTGAAAGATTTTTGGCAGAAGGTAACTGAAACCATCAACAGAACTGTACGGAACAACCTTACATTTACAGAGCAAAATATCCTCTTGAATTATATACCCAACACACGGAACAAAAGGACAATATGAGTGGACTCTGTGACCTGACCACAGCAAAAAAGACTGATACTGATGAACTGGAAAAATAAAAATGCTGCTCCCTTCTATGATTGGATTGAAGACTTATACAAACTCGCAACATATGAACAACTTGCACATAAACACAGACTTGCTATGGACAAATTTAATGATATTTGGAATCCATTCTAACAAATACTATAATAGGTTATGATCTGGCGAAGTACAAAAACAACCTTGTAAAAAACATTTAAATTAAGCTTTTACAGCTGTTTTAAAGAATGAATAAGCAGCAGGCCACTTTATTGTACTTCCCTTTATGGTGGTTTAGAGGAGACTGTCTTTTATCCAGTCACCACTTATCCCCCTTTCCAGGTTCTGTTGAAGAGACAGCTAGGCTAGCAACTAAACTCTGCTAAAGGAGGTCTTCTATCTGTTGTGCAGAACTGAAGCCTTTGTGGATGTATCTGTCAGGGACCATGCTGAGAAGGGCTACACTGAGGAGAAATGGTGCCTCCCCCTGCTCCTGTTCAGGATCCTGAATCTTCCCAGGAACAGGAGGACAGTATAGATTAGGAACAGCGGTTTGCAGAGGGGCATAGTTCAGAAGGCAGAAGCTGGGAAGTACTGTGTGGGGAACAGCTAGGAGGAGAAAAACTGGAAGAGAGAAAGTTAACAGACTCACTGTCGCTAGAAAGCGTCCAGCCGCTTAGCCCAAGGTCAAGGAGAGTAGATAAGGTGGCAGCACAGAAAGCACAATGGTTGCGAGATCAGGTTGCAAGAGGCGGGAGTGACGGGGGGACCAGGGAGGAAGTGGGTAGAACCCTTAATTGGGAGGACCTTCATTCCTAGGAATGACTTCTTTGTTCTCTCGCTGTGATCATTAAAATTTCTAACTGGTAAGAGACTCCTTTCGCTTTGTTCTGCTTATCTACTTGCCAAAAGGGGCAGGAGAGGAAGCTGATTCCCCAAAGACTGACAGGATCTACTGTAACAGTTTCACAGCGTAGCAGAGTAAGTGACAGACATACTGTGGTAATAAGGTGGACGGAAAGTCTTGGTGGCCACTGCCCAGCGGGGTGGGAATATAACAAAGTCAGCAACCGCCACTCCAGGACGAGTTGACTTTGCTGTCAGGACAGTGAAAATAGAAGGATCCTGCAAACAGAAAGAAGATTGACAGGTTATTTAAACAGGGCCAAGCGCTAACCTGATACATCAGATATATTGTATGAGACAGGCAAGGCCTAGAGTACATCTCATTGATTCTGTGATGGCCTGGGACTCGGACTCAGACTCGGAACCAGAGGAGTCCCAGTCTGCACCGGATCCTTTGCCTCAGGCATCATCTGAACCAAGTCTGGGGCCTGATCCTGAAGAGTCCCAGTCTGCACAGGTTCCCCTGCAACAAGCACCAGCTGGGCCAAGTCAGGGGCCTGAGCCTGCCCTGGCTCCAGATGCAGGGATGACCTCGCTGCCTTCAGCTGGGCCATCACTTACAGCTGCTCCACTACCGGTTGGGTCAGGGGAGGCTGAGGCGGCCCTGGGTCTAGTCACCCACTGACGTCTCCTGAGCTGCAGAGATGAAGGTCTGAGAGAAGGAAAGACCTGAGTACTCGCAGGAGGAGTGCTCGCCTCCGGGCGAAACAAGGAGGTGAGTCGCCGGGGGATCAGGACCGGCCGTTATCCCGACAAAGATAAAAGGCTGTCGGACCTCGCCCCAGGTTGCTGGAGCAATGTTGCTGTATGCCAGATCCTGCCTGAGATCCTGTACCTGTCCTTGCCTGGTTTCTTGCCTTGTGTCCTGCCTTGGCCCTGTTGGACTGTCTCCTAGCAGAGCCTTCGGATTCTGGACCGGACCTGGACCGTGTTTCTCGGGTTACCCCCAGGCCCAGCACAGATTCCAGCATGAATTATATATTCCCAAGGTGGGGTTTTAGCCTCCAAATGTACTTATATTATTATTGCTACAGCACTACTCTCTCCCTTGATTCCAATCTTGCCTTTGACGGTGCTGGCTTTGGAAAGAATTACCGTATTTTTTGTTCTATAAGACTCACTTTTTCCCTCCTAAAAAGTAAATGTTTTTGCCAAAAATCTCAGAAACCTCATCAGGAGGGCTTTAAACTGACTAATGTGGGGGAGGGAGACAGTGCTCCTGAAGGTAGGAGTCTATCAATTGATGAAGATGATCATCCAAATGTCATAGACCAAATGGAGCAAACAGCACACAGACCTAGTGGTGGGAGGAAAAAATCCTTAAATAAGAGTCACGGGGAAATGATTAATGGACTTCAATGTCTGTACACTAATGCGCAAAGCATGGGAAATAAACAAGATGAGCTTGAGCTCTTGGTACAGCAAACTAAATATGACATAATAGGCATCACTGAAACCTGGTGGGATAAGTCCCACGATTGGAATGTAATAATGGGGGGATACAATTTATTTCAGAGAAACAGACCAGACAAGAAAGGAGGAAGAGTGGCATTATATGTCAGGGATGTGTATACCTGTGAAGAGATCCAAGATTTAGAACCTCAAAGCCAAAGTGAGAGCATTTGGGTCAAAATTAAGGGAGAGAAGAATAACAGTGACCTCATTGTGGGAGTTTACTATAGATCCCCAAGCCAAACGGAGGACATAGATGATGCCTTCCTGGAACAGATGGCCAAGCATGCAAAAGGAAGGGAGATAGTAGTAATGGGGACTTCAATTACCCGGATATTTGTTGGATGTCAAACTCAGCCAAGAGCATAAGGTCAAACAGATTCCTCACTGGCCTTGCAGACAACTTCATTGTCCAGAAAGTGGGAGAAGCAACAAGAGGAACAGCCATTTTAGATCTGGTCCTAACCAATGTTGATGACCTGGTTAGTGGGGTAGAAGTGGAAGGATCATTAGGCGCGAGTGATCATGCTCTTCTGAAGTTTACTATACAGCGGAAAGGAGCAGCCAAGCATACTAGGACTCAATTTCTTGACTTTAAGAAAGCTGACTTCATAAAACTTAGGGAAGTGCTGGGTGAGATCCCATGGACAGTAATACTAAAAGGAAAGGGAGTTCATGATGGCTGGGAGTTTGTTAAGAGGGAGATAGTAAAAGCACAACGTCAGGCAATACCAATGAGACAGAAACATGGAAGGTGCCTAAAGAAGCCAGGGTGGCTATCTAAAGAACTTTTAACTGAGTTAAGATTAAAAAGGATGTGTACAAAAATGGAAAAGGGGAAACCACCAAAGAGGAATTCAAACAAATAGCCAGCACGTGTAGACACAAAGTCAGAAAAGCTAAAGCACAGAATGAACTCAGGCTTGCTAGAGAGGTTAAAAGCAACAAAAAAAGGCTTTTATGGGTATGTCCGTAGCAAAAGGAAGAACAAAGAAACAGTGGGGTCACTCAGAGGAGAAGATGGTGAAATGCAAACAGGGGACACAGAAAGAGCTGAACTCCTCAATGCCTTCTTTGCCTCAGTCTTCTCCGATAAAGAAAACAATGCCCAACCTGAAGAATTTGGAGCAAATGATTCAGCAAAGGAAACACAGCCCAGAATAACTAAGGAGATAGTACAAGAATACTTGGCTAGTTTAGATGTATTCAAGTCTCCAGGGCCAGACGAACTGCATCCAGGAGTATTAAAAGAACTGGCAGATGTGATCTCAGAACCACTGGCAGTCATCTTTGAGAATTCCTGGAGAACAGGCAAAGTCCCGGCAGACTGGAGGAGGGCAAATGTTGTCCCTATTTTCAAAAAGGGGAAAGAGAGGACCCAAATAATTACCGCCCAGTCAGTCTGACATCAATACCAGGGAAGATTCTGGAGCAGATCATTAAGCAAACAGTCTGTGAGCACCTAGAAAGGAATGCTGTGATCCCCAATAGTCAGCATGGATTTCTGAAAAATAAGTCATGTCAGACTAACCTGATCTCGTTTTTTGACAGAATTACAAGCCTGGTAGATGAAGGGAACGCAGTGGATGTAGCCTACCTTGAATTCAGCAAGGCATTTGACAAGGTGCCTCATGATATTCTTGTAAAGAAGCTGGTAAAATGAGGTCTTGACTATGCTACCACTCAGTGGATTTGTAACTGGCTGACTGACCGAACCCAAAGGGTGCTCATCAATGGTTCTTCTTCATCCTGGAGAAGAGTGACTAGTGGGGTGCCACAGGGTTCTGTCTTGGGCCCGGTCTTATTCAACATCTTTATCAACGACTTGGATGATGGACTCAAGGGCATCCTGATCAAATTTGCAGATGACACCAAATTGGGAGGGGTGGCTAACACCCCAGAGGACAGGATCACACTTCAAAACGACCTTGACAGATTAGAGAACTGGGCCAAAACAAACAAGATGAATTTTAACAGGGAGAAATGTAAAGTATTGCACTTGGGCAAAAAAATGAGAGGCACAAATACAAGATGGGGACACCTGGCTTGAGAGCAGTACATGTGAAAAGGATCTAGGAGTCTTGGTTGACCACAAACTTGACATGAGCCAACAGTGTGATGTGGCAGCTAAAAAGCCAATGCAATTCTGGGCTGCATCAATAGGAGTATAGCATCTAGATCAAGGGAAGTAATAGTGCCACTGTATTCTGCTCTGGTCAGACCTCACCTGGAGTACTGTGTCCAGTTCTGGGCACCACAGTTCAAGAAGGACATTGACAAACTGGAACGTGTCCAGAGGAGGGCAACCAAAATGGTCAAAGGCCTGGAAACGATGCCTTATGAGGAACGGCTAAGGGAGCTGGGCATGTTTAGCCTGGAGAAGAGGAGGTTAAGGGGTGATATGATAGCCATGTTCAAATATATAAAAGGATGTCACATAGAGGAGGGAGAAAGGTTGTTTTCTGCTGCTCCGGAGAAGCGGACACGGAGCAATGGATCCAAACTACAAGAAAGAAGATTCCACCTAAACATTAGGAAGAACTTCCTGACAGTAAGAGCTGTTCGACAGTGGAATTTGCTGCCAAGGACTGTGGTGGAGTCTCCTTCTTTGGAGGTCTTTAAGCAGAGGCTTGACAACCATATGTCAGGAGTGCTCTGATGGTGTTTCCTGCTTGGCAAGGGGTTGGACTCGATGGCCCTTGTGGTCTCTTCCAACTCTATGATTCTATGATTCTATGATTCTAAGTAAGGGGAAATGTGTGTGCGTCTTATGGAGCGAATGCAAGCTGCACAACTATCCCAGAAGCCAGAACAGCAAGAGGGATCGCTGCTTTCACTGCGTAGCAATCCCTCTTGCTGTTCTGGCTTTTGGGATTCAGAATATTTTTTTTCTTGTTTTCCTCCTCCAAAAACTGGGTGCGTCTTATGGTCTGGTGCGTCTTATAGAGCAAAAAATATGGTGCCAAACAATGGAATGTTTCCTAAGGTGAGACTTCAAACTTACCCAGGACATCCAGAAACTTACCGCATGGTCGAAAGCCACAGAATTAATGACCATGAAATTGCTGAGATTGTACTTGTATGGGGTGTAGTTCCCATGCCAGGCCACAACATTGAATGGAGAAGAGCTCTATAAGATTAAGCAGAATGCAAGCACCTTTACTTGTGCAAAGTGTCTGGTATTTATGGAGATTAGAGAATGTAACTGGTACAGTCTAAACACATCCCCACCCTTAAATGTATATTTTATCTTTCTGTTACAAAATTGTACACGCAGAAATTGTAAAACATGACATGACTGGGGGAAAATGGGTCACTAGGGGGGTAAAATACAAAACATATTATTTTAAAGTAAATAATAATGTGGTGATTACAGTAAACCAGTTCAATAATCTCCATTATCTGCTCGCTTGCAAACAGACAACCTCTGCCTGCTACTACGCATCGCTTCTCCTTTGTATTTGGGACGGTGTCTTACCTGCATCACTGATTCCTGCAATTTCTGATTGATCATCTTTGTCATGGGGGTAGGAACCTGATCATGGATTACATGGTGGGCTCCTCACCCGCCAACAACCCACTCCAAACTGAAGCCCAGTGGAAGTTCCCTTGTTGGTTTCCCTTACTGCCTGAAGAGCCTGCCTTCAGTTTTCCCGTTCCACTCACCTCGCCAAAACTCCAAAACATTGCAAATCTGCTTAACCAGATTCCTTTGCTCGCTTTTAGACCTTTTAGCTTTGCCTCGGTGGATATGCACAGAACATGCATGGTTTAATCACAACAGGAGAAAGTCAGTGTGACGGACTGCATTTAACACCTCAACCCTTAGACTGATATCGAATGAAATGCTTCGTTTTCTAAACGGAAAACTGTCATGTCCTAACCTGCTGTGCTGTAAAGAGTTTCCCCTGGTACTTGTTGACAACCGTGTAGCCCTCAGCTACTTGGCGATCTTCGTACCAGGCAACGGGCACAAGGAAATCTCGTGGGTTTGCCAACCCATTGGCACCTGGGAAAGAAGGGCGCAATCAGGTCTTTGTAACAAATTGTAGAACTGGGAACTGGGAATACACACACACACACACACACACACACACACACACACACACAGTATAGAAAGGTAAAGGTAAAGGACCCCTGACGACTCTGGGGTCACAATGCTCATCTCGCTTTACAGGCCGTGGGAGCTGACGTTTGCCCACAGACAGTTTTTCCGGGTCATGTGGCCAGCATGACTAAGCCGCTTCTGGTGAACCAGAGCAGCGCACGGAAATGCCGTTTACCTTCTCACCGGAGCGGTACCTATTTATCTACTTACACTTTGACGTGCTTTCGAACTGCTAGGTTGGCAGGAGCTGGGACAGAGCAAAGAGAGCTCACCCCGTCGCGGGGATTCGAACCGTCGACCTTCCGCTTGGCAAGCCCAAGAGGCTCAGTGGTTTAGACCACAGCACCACCCACGTCCCATATATACAGTGTATGTATGTATGTATGTATGTGTGTATATATATATGTGTGTGTGTGTGTGTGTGTGTGTGTGTATGTATAGTTTTCAGATTAAAGCTTTACAGTCAATTATCTAACGTACAACATAAAAACAAGATTCCAAAGAATCTCCTGGACTTCCCTCCTTCCCTTTGTGGGTCCTATTGTTAATCATTTCCTCCTGTACCTTTTATGATAATCCAAATCTTTTATATCCCCATTGTGTCCAAAATTCACCATTAAACTACAAGTGTTATTCTAATCCTCCTAACAGTTTTAGCTGTTTACAACGGTTTTTAAGATAAATTCTAAATTTCCCCCATTCCTTTTTAAAATTTTAGTCTTCCTGATTTCTGATTCTTCCAGTCATTTTTGGCATTTCGGCATAATCCATCAACTTAATCTGCTACTCTTCTTTCCATCTCTGGGCCAGTAACATCCACGCAGCACGGGGAATATCAGTCTATTCTCTCAAAAAGAGCTTCTCTGTACTTGAGATGAAAACATTTTATGCTGTATTGTATATTTAGATGTTACTGTAGAAAGGTTTTTTGCCAATGATTCTTGTGGAAAGTAGGGATTTCTAAGTAACAGAAAGACTTCCGTACCCTTGCTTCAAAATTTGCATGTCCTTGAATGGCTGGGAAGTATCTGGGAAATGTGAAACAAGTCACATGATTCATATTCCTAAACCCTGCAGCAAACCTATTGGTAGCTCATAACGTTACCAGGTTAAGTTGGTAGGATCTGGTAATATAAACTGGCCTAGAAGACCCTTGAGGTCCCTTCAATTCTATGATTCTATAATAATTGTAACTTCAAGAGTCTGGAATTCTAAACGGCTGCTTGGAGTAAGTATCGCTCTGCTGAACCATACCAGGGTGCGGGTCCACAGAATATTAGCATTTGGTTTGTAACAGCAGCCACCAAGTACTTCTTGGTCTTCATAAACTTTGAGGTGGCTCATCCATACTTTCTTTCATCCCACTGCTTTCCTCCAGGGAAAACTGACTTTCTCTGGATGGACATTTGCTTCGATTGAGCACTAAAGAGTGGCTTTTCCCTGGGAAAGTGTGGGTCAAGTGGAAAACTGCTCAGACCCAGATTTCTAGCACAGGACAAGCGGAAGTGTAGACAAACCCTCTCTCTTGTTGCTTGTCTCCTGCATCTAGTGTTCAGAGATATACCATTTCTGAATATTCCACCAAACCACCATGCTGGCGATAAATGAATTTAAAGGCATGGGTTTTAGTCTAAAACCCTTTTCAAAGCCATCAAAGTTAATGCATATCACCACATCTGGTGCTACTGAATTATGCATTGTGTAAAGAAACATCTTGTTTTGCTTGTCCTGGAATCTTCTGCCAACCAACTTTACTGAGTAACATGGCAAATTGTAGGCTTTTGTGCAAGCCTGAAATGTGGGGTAGGAATTCAACAGTACTGCTGCCTGTGTGAACCAGCTTTCAGTTATAGTACATTAATATTTTACTATAATAAAAAATGGAGGAAGTATAATCTGAAACATCAATGTAGCTCTGAAATCTTTTTTCAACTTCTGGGGCCCGCATTTTATTTTGTTGTTAGTAGTGCAAAGAAGAAATACGGGGGGGGGGGGAATTTAATTGCTCTCTGTTTTGTGATGTTGTAATGATTCTAATAGAAAGCATTATATTGTTATTGAAAGCAATAAGAATAGTCAATAGTTACCAATAGGTCCCAAGTCTGGCAGCTCAAAATGTCCCCCATATATCTCCAGGATATAGCCTCGAGTTTCTCCAAATACTTCTACATTGAAACGCATCCCTTGCTGGGAGACAAAGAACAAAGAAAACTCTTAGGAAGCGCACCTCAGGATTATTGCTTCAGGCCATTAACTAATTGACCACACCAATGACTAAGGATGTGTCAATAGGACTTGGCCAACATTTGGATCACATTGTGTAGAAGCACAATGCAGCTTGCCTGACCTAGACTGATCCAAATAGCTAAATCACAGACATGGCACAGAAAATGTACGTAGCTCTCTGCCCTAGGATGCCAGAATGCTTTAAAAAAAAAAGCATTGAGTTGCATCTTTTTGTTTCCAGTTACTGCATCATTCCAAAAAGAGCCAAATATAAGAATTTACAGAGGCAATCCGTAGAGGTGAGTCACTATAATTTTCTTTAATGCATCATAATTTTTGGCAGAACAACTTTTAAAAAGAATGTGCTGATGTCAGAGCCGAAATAAGAGACAAGGATAACAACATTTTCAATATTAATTGAATGAAATTTAATATCTAGCAATATCCAGGCTTCCTTCCTTCATGGAAACATGCCACAATTTCCCAGTGAAGATGTATGCAATTCAACTTGGATGTAGAACCTAATTCAGATGTGGACGTACACTGCAGTGCTAATCTGGCCAGTGCCGGATTTACGTATAAGCTAAACAAGCTATAGCTTAGGGCCCCACTCTCATGGGGGCCCCCCAAAAAATTTAAAGGGGAAAAAACTGGATGTACATTTCCAAAATATAAGATAAGGAACAAATAAAATAAAACCTACATACAGCAACAGTGTTTTGTGTTGTGTTGGCTCCTATGATGTAAGTAATGGGCCCCACCTGCTAGCCTGCTCGCTAAAATATCACCGGTTTGCTCATTTCTATATACAGGGTGCCTACATTCTGCATGGACTGGTTGCAGGGCAACATGTAGCAGGCAGCTGCAGACTGCAGTGCAGCGCAGTTGAACGTAGGTCAAGCTGTTGTACCTGTTATCTAATATTAAAGAGGGCTTGTAGACGGATGATCAGGCAGCATAGATCTTGATCTAAGGGTATGAGTCTTATGCCTACTGATTGATTTCATGTAGTACATAATTTATTTATTTTGATCCCATTATGGTTTTAGATACCTGTTAGATCCATAAATTACCATATAGCACATATTCAACACAAAAAAACACCAACAATTTGTTGTTGACAAAGGACAGAAGAAGAGGAGTTTGGATTTGATATCCCGCCTTTCACTCCCCTTCAGGAGTCTCAAAGCGGCTCACAATCTCCTTTCCCTTCCTCCCCCACAACAAACACTCTGTGAGGTGAGTGGGGCTGAGAGACTTCAGAGAAGTGTGACTGGCCCAAGGTCACCCAGCAGCTGCAGGTGGAGGAGCGGAGACGCGAACCCGGTTCCCCAGATTACGAGACTACCGCTCTTAACCACTACACCACACTGGACATATAAAGGGCCCCATTACCTTCAATAGCTTAGGGCCTCATCAAATCTCAATGCAGCCCATGCATGTCCCTCTCCAGGGCCTGCAGTCACATGCAGAAAAGGGCAGCTATTTCCAAAAACGAAGAGCAGGCGCCCATTGTACTGCATGAGGCCAGCATCAATGGAGCAGCTGCACAGCTGTGGTGGTGACTCGTATGTAGGAAAAGCAAAATACGAGGAGACCCTCAGGTGGCCAACGGCTGTGTGATAGGATCCTACAGGAGTCTTGCAGCACTAACATTTTTGCCCAGAAGATCAAGGGCAACATACAAGGGTGTTTGCGTGTTGCACTGTCCAGGGCTTACCTGAATAACACAGATCTCATTGGGCTCCACCATCAGCTTGCCAAACTCTGTAGTGATGAGCAATTTGCCTTGCTGTGGAACTGGAGGAAGGAAGCACAAAGATATATGCTGTGGGACTGGAACACATTCCTATTCCCAGGCAACTCTCCAAATGTACAGTGCTTTTGTTATGTACCTGATCCTGCCTTAGGAAAGCCACTTGGAGTAGATGGTTCTCTAATACTACAAAGAGCTATGATTCCATTGTTATCTGCTTACTCTCTGCAATCTTGCCCTTTGCTCCAAAACCCTCCGAGTCCCCTCTGTGTCAATATTGCAGCTTTAAATAAAACAGAGAGGAAAAGAGAGCAGAGAAGAAGAAATCAGAATGATAAAGGTCAGAGGGAGAACTCACCAATCAGGAAGTCTCCATCGGAATTATAAAAGCATCTATAGAGGAAAAAGTAATTGCCGAGTGTTCAAAATTCAAGGTATCCACAATAGAATCTTTATTTTAAACTCTTTAAACTGATTTCAGCGAAACTTATTTTCAAGTGAGTCTGCTAAGAAAATTCCACAATGCTGTGTGCACAGGTGTGGAAATAAATGTTCCTGGACTCTGGGATGTTTTTCAGTGTCATTGTTTTCCGCTCAGAGGGACACATTGAGTACACTTCCATGACAGCCGGCGCCGAGAGGGTTAGGTTAGAATCGTAATCTTTGGCATCCTAGTTTTCTATGTTCAGGGAACATGAGACGTATTCTGGGTGTGAGGAATCAGGTGAGGCCCCACTCTGAAGCAGTACAACTGGGTACAAGTTTACCAGCTCAATGTCTACCATTATGGGATGTCTTTATGAGTCTTTCCTAGTAAGTTGCTTACTAGACAAGAGGTGGCCATTGTGGTGCCTCCCAACGAGGTCTCTGAACTACAACTCCCATAAGCCCCTGCCAGCATCGCCAATGGTCAGGGATGAAGGGATGATAGTTGTAGTTCATCTACATAGGAAGGCATAGGTGCCAACTCCGAGGGGCCAAGGTCCTTCCACACCCCCCCAATAAAATATTCAAGGGGGCTGATTGGCACGGCCATTCAAAAGAGGTGTGTGACCAAGTCATGTGATCAATCAAGCCCCCCCCCCGCTTGGAGGGCAGAACACCGGCTACCCTTTTGCTTAAAGACATAGCGCTCTGGTGCCGCAAGCAGCATTCAAAATACTTAGAAAGGAAGGAATAGGAGAAAGGGGAAAGAAAAGAGGGATAATCAAGGACTCAAAATATTCAAATAAATCTTTATAGCCTGCCCTTCGCGACAAAAGCGATTCCATGGTGAGGTACAAGAAAAGCGAAAATGGCAAAGCTTATAAAGAGAGGGATCGATAAAAGCAGCATTAGCAGCAGAAACAGCAGTGGCAAAAATGTATAAATCTAAATCAAATAAGTGTTGGAAATGTAAAGAGAAAGAAGTTTTTTTTATCATATGTGGTAGTAAGGTTAAAGCTTACTGGGAAATGATATATAATGAAATGAAAAGGATGTTTAAAATAACCTCTGTAAAAAAACAAAACCAGAAGCTTTTCTTTGGGAAATTATAGGGACAAAACTACCTAAAATGTATAGAAACATATTCATGTGTGCTACTACAGTGGCAAGAATGTAACTCACCCCAAAATGAAAAGAAGCAGAAGTCCCAGCAAAGGAAGAATGGATACAAAAACTTATGGAATATGCAGAAATGGTGAAACTTACTGGAAGAGTAAGAAATCAAGATAACAAACTTTTTATAAAAGAATGGAAATGGTTTATTGAATATTTACAGATAAATTGTAAACAGATAAAAACATTGGCAGGATTATTGTGATAACCTGCAGTTTCATAAGAGTATATATTTAAAGAAGATGAGTAAATGAGAAAATTAAGTTAATTTGGATATGCAGAAGATATTAAAAATAAATTTAAGGAGCCGCAGAAAGAGGGGGAAGGAAGTCAAGTTTTGAAATGTCAACATGATTGTAAAATTAGTGAACTGTATAAAATTAGTGAAATGTTTAAAAGAAACAGCAATGACAATAGCATAACCCACCCAATCAACTGCAGCACAAATTGTAGTGAAACAATATTTAGTATTAGCCAGAACTGTCAAGGAAAACCTTCATTGCTCATGCATTGCTCACGGACCTGTTAATCATGGAGCTGTTACAGGTAAAGATGTGAATCGCAAGTCCTTCTCGAGACCTGGGCTCACCAGCGCCACACACAGTGTGCAATCCCTACGGAAAATATGCACTTAACATTAGCATAAATCACAGGCGCCTTTGGTTAGTCTAACCCCATCCCCAAATTCTCTCTGCCTTAGATAAACACTTGGCTATTGCTTTCAGTTTAAACAACTCTAGCAACTTTGAAATCCACTCATGATTGTGGGAATGTTGTGGCTAGTAGGAGAGGATATATTGATTCTCTTCCTCCCTCACATTAGTGAGTCAAGTAGCAGAGCACATTTCCCTTATACAGCAGGAAGCTAGTTTGCAGATTCGTTTGAATCTCTTTAGTTAAGCACTCCACTCTGGCATGCCCAGATTGGATTATTCCTGGTAAGTCCCCTTTTGATCCCTCTCTAGAGAATAAAAGACACAACAGTCTTTCTTCAAAAGTAACAAGAAGTTTACTTACATCCAGTTCACAGTTTGATCCCTGAAGGCAGGTTTTGGCTTGTAGTTACAGTTACAGAGAAAGGTGTGGATTTATCCCATAGGGGGACTTATCCCATGCAGTCCAACAGAATCAAAAGGAGTCAAAAGAGCAAAAGAGGAAGATGGCTGCGTGACTGGACCTTGTATAGGGTCTCCCGAGGTCACATCCACCTACCGGTCACATGCAGGGGGAGGATGCTCCAGACCAGGTGTAACAGGAAGTCCTCCTGGCTGGAGGAACATCCCCCTGTCTGCGTCCACTCTAGGAAAACAAGGAATGCTGTATTTGACTGCTCCAATGGATTACATCCCACAATGATGACAATTAAAAGTGGTCACTCGGTGAAGAGTTAGAGGGATACAGAGAAGTGTTTGGGTTTTTTGAGGGAGGTAGGGAAGGTCCATGTCAGTTTCAGAATTTCTCAGGACTGGGCTGGGGGCTGGAGGGAGGCATTATCCCAAGAATTCATACAGTTTCCCACAATTACATGTGAATTAAGCGGCAATGGGGCTGATGTAGTCTCTAGCCCCTTGGGTTGTTTTTCTTTTTACATTGGCCTGTCCAGCTATTTCAGATAGATGGATTGAAAATGTGTGCGTATATTTCATTTACATAGAAAAATTACAGTATTTTTTCATGTGATCTTAATAGCTACAAGCAGAGAGGCTGAGTACTCTTTTGTTAACAAGGTGTGGTTTAAAGCAGATCGTCCTTCCTCAGTTTCCTCAGCTACAAAATGTATGGCACTATTCCTTGTTATAGTTTGTACTTTTTTTAACTTACAGTTTGGTCTTTAACTTACGGTTACAAAGTCCAGCTTTCTCTGAGTGGCCTTTGGGATCTCAAAAGGTTTCCATCGCAGCTAGAATGAAAGAGAGAAATAAAAATTATTATAAGAATAAATTAGGTAAAGGTAAAGGGACCCCTGACCATTAGGTCCAGTTGTGGCCGACTCTGGGGTTGCAGTGCTCATCTTGCTTTATTGGCCGAGGGAGCCGGCGTACAGCTTCCGGGTCATGTGGCCAGCAGGACTAAGCCGCTTCTGGCGGACCAGAGCAGCACATGGAAATGCCTTTTACCTTCCCGCTGGAGTGATACCTATTTATCTACTTTGATGTGCTTTCGAACTGCTAGGTTGGCAGGAGCTGGGACCGAGCAACAGGAGCTCACCCCGTTGTGGGGATTCGAACCGCCGACCTTCTGATCTGCAAGCTCTAGGTTTAACCCACAGCGCCACCCGCTTCCCTTAAGAATAAATTATGACATCTTTAAAAGAACAAATGCTTTTTTGAATGTAGGGGTCCCTATTTTTGCCCCATCCTTTTTTCTCAATAGCACTCTTGGCCCACTAGACTAACTGCCTCAAGTCTGACCTTGGCTCTTATGATGTCAGTCCCTTCCACAGGCACTTAGCTGAGCCCAACATTTGAGAGTTCAAATTGGGGGAAATAAGTACAGTAAATGGACAAAAGTACAAAGATTCACAAAAATGTTTAGGGTTATGCGGACCCCTGCACCGCCCCAGAAAAATAGCACTGGTTATGATTATTGTCTGTATAGAAGTGATCACGCTGAGGAGGGATTTTAAATTCTCTTCCGGGAAACAAAGTTTGAGTTCATGTGTCTCTGGCATATCAACTGCTTTCTCTGTGAAACATTGGCCTTCCTGGGAAAGGAGCCAAAGGTTTCGACTTGTAATGTTATCATTATTCCTTGCACCTGTGATTACCTGATTGGGTTCAGGCTCAGCTTCATCCCAGGTATGTGTCAGGTAGCCCTGATGCACAGGCTGAAAGGGCTTGTGGCAAACAGAAGGCAGGATTCTGTACAGCCAGCTAGAGAGGAAAACAAATGCAGAGAAGTCATGGAAATTTGGCTGACTAAATGCCTCTGCAACATGCACTACTCCAGTGCAGAATCTGTCATTGTGCTTTGGACTGCGGAAGAACTGAACAGTCTCTGCTCCCCTGAGTGAGATAGATTTTCTGGGCTGCAGTTGCTGTGTGTGTTGAGAGGAGGTAGTCGCCTTCCACAGAGATCACCACCAGGCATTTCCAAGACACTGTTGTGCTGTATGAATGAGCATCAAAGAAGGAGTCTCTCTGGGAGGCAGGATACATTGAATCTGCATCATCGATGTGGCCATAGCTGTGTGACTGTAAGCAGATTCCTTCCAGGGCATTCCACTCCTGCTTTCTTGCAGACATGGACCTCTCTTTCAGGACTGATTAAGGGAGCAAGAGTTCTTAAAATCTGTCCCGTAAGCCTCTATACCCTAATCCCTTAGATGAGGGAGCACTCGGCAGTTGCTCAGAGGCACTCTCCACAATTACAAGCTTGCATGTTCCAAGACTAAGTAAGCCTTTCTATTGGAATCAGATCCCAGAGCAAAACACTGGGAGCCTCTGCGTTGAAGCCAAGGAGAAGGTGTCCTATTGACACATTCCTCAAGGGCTTCTGCACATGAAATTGAGAAGATCCATAGTTGAGAAGATCCGTTTGGGGGTGCCAAATTTTGGCCTCACTCATACAGTCAAACCTCAGTTGTCGAACATAATCCATTCCGGAAGCCCGTTCGGCTTCCAAAATGTTCAACAACCGAGGCGCGGCTTCTGATTGGTTGCAGGAGCTTCCTGCACTCAAGCGGAAGCAGCATCGGATGTTCAGCTTTCAAAAAACGTTTAAAAACCGAAGCATTTACTTCCAGGTTTTCGGCATTTGGGAGCTAAATCATTCCAAAATAGAGGCTTTTGGGATCCAAGGTTTGAATGTACTACCAAATATTACCAAAGTCTACCCCTAGTCTATCACTACCAATACTAAACAGCACCTGTGTTTTTGGAATAAAGTTGCAGTGACTTGTAAAACACCATGCTGGGGCCAACAACATTTCACTGTCTCCCCCTCGCTATACAAACACACGCGTGTACGTTAACTGATTTCCCCAAATCCATGCATACCTTCTCCTGTTTGTGGATCGTGGGCAGGTGAATGCGGACCCAGAAAGCTGCTCAGCATACAGACCATATGGGCAGATCTGAGGGCTATTCTAAACCAAAGCAGATAAGATGAGTTTGTTGGAATTCTGCCTGGGTCAGAGGAATGTGCCACAGCGTAGGCACCGGCAGATATTCCTGTCGACCTCCCCGCGTCTCCACTCTGCTGATAAGCAGGCGAGGTCCGGCGATTCTTCTCAGATGTATGAGAGGAACACACCGTTCTTCCTCTCTCCCCTTTGGTGTCCCCAGGGGGGGAAAGAAGCAGACAGAAAACTATTTACATCATTTATTTCTGCCTCTTACATCAGTACAGAGAATCATGTCTGCACTCAACAACAGCAAGACGAAACTCCTCCCAAGTACATCCAGTACGGGTCATAAGACACACACACACTGAGCTAACATCCGGTGCTCAGTACAGAATGGACTGCCCCTTTGTTCCCATGGCAACAGTCACAAACATCCTGTCTGGCTTTCCAGCCACAAGCAGCTGGCTGAGCTGCTAGAGCCTTTGCTTGCTGCAGCATTGGTGCTTTATGGTAACATACTCCCCTAAAGTATCAATGTGTGCCGCGAGCAAAGCGTCATCCAGAGAAGAAAACAAACAGTTGTTATATTTATAACATTCCCCTGTTGTTTCAGTTCCACCCTTGGAACTACCCGCCACTGGTTTAACCAATGTACCTCTCTGGTTGTCTGGCTTCCAAGGAATGAGTGCTTCTGCATTACCTTGGCTAGCTACCCTCTGTTGTGTCTTTGTCTCTGACGTAGACACTGCTTCAACCTGCTTTGAGTTGTTAACAATAGCAACACATGCAACAGCTAAGTTAGCAAACTCTTTTGAGTACCTCTTTGGTGGTACACCCTTTGTAACTCTCTCAGACCTGCGTATGAGGTTCTGATCTTCTGTGCTCACTGGTTCAACCTTTGGACTCTGTTGAGAACCAGTAGCAATCAGTGGTTCATCCTCCTCTTCTGAGGGTCTAGTCATTATGTGAGATTTCCTCTCAATGACTGTGACAACTGAGCTGTCTGAGCTATCGCTGTCATCATCAGTACTACTGAACTCAATAAGATCAAACTCATCATCATCATCATCGTTTCCTGTGGGAAATGTCTGTACTATCAACCTCTCCTGTTCAGGAGCACTCTCTAGGAACTTTGTGAGAATCACCTGACCAGATTCAGACAAAATTACTCTGTAGAGACCTTTTTCATAACCCACAAAAATGCCTCTGGCATTCTTTACACCACCTGGAGCTTCTGTTCTCACATGAGACCCGAAAACCTTGAAATAGGCAACAGAAGGTTTTCTATTGAACAGCTTCTCAAAAGGAGAACATCCCAACTCTGTTGAGACCTTTCTCAACCACACATGAAGATAGGACGCTAGTGATTCGGCCCAATATTCATGTGGCAAATGTGAACTCAGCAATTGCGCATTCATCCCCTTTTGCAATTCTTTGTTCACCCTCACACAGACCCCCCTGTTCCACGCTTCTTGCGAGACTGCAACTTTGTGGTCTATCCCTTTTCCATCCAGGAACTTCTGAAACTTCTGCAACAGAAAAATTTGCTTCTCATCTGTGAAAAGACAATCAATGTTAGCATCATGCATACTTTTAACCTTGTCACAAAACTCCTGAAACTTTTCTAAAGTTTCTTGCGGTTTCTCCATCATATAAACCCAAGAATAATTAGTGAAACAATCCACACACACAAGGTAAAATCGTGCACCGCCTCTAGATGGTTCTAGAGGACCAATCACATCAGCATACACCCGCTGAAATGCTCTGTTGACCTTCTTGGTCTTAGTCACCTTCCTGGTGCTCACACTGGTCATGGTCGCCCTGCAAGAGAGATTTCGTTAGAAACAGAAGAATTACATTTCATGTAATCACTTTGATCAAAAGTCAACAAATACAGTCCATCTTTCTCTTTGGCAGTAAGAAACAGTTCTCCATCTTTGTAGATCTTGCAGCTTTTAGCATCATAGGACAGTTTCAGTCCTTTCTTTGCAATCTGCGACACGCTCAGCAGATTAAATCTCAGTTCTGGAACCAGGTAAACATCACTTATAGTCAAGTTCAGACTTTCAAGATACACAGTCCCAATTCCAGTTGCTTCCAACTCCTGACCGTTGGCCTGTTTCACAGTGAAGCTTTGCTTCTTCAACGTCGAAAATAGTCCTCTGTGCGGGCACAAATGTTTTGTACAGCCCGTGTCGATTATGAACGAGTTCCCAACATCTGGCGTGGTTCCTTTCGCCATCATAGCCTTTGCAGGTTTCACCTGGCACTTGGTACGGCTTTTGCCTGACGCCTGAGGCTTCGTAGAGCTGCTCTTTGCTCCTCTTGACTGGCGCGGCTTCTTACAGTTTCGCTGTAGATGCCCAGTCTGTCCACAATTGTAGCATCGGACAGCACTCAATGCTACACCATGCTCTCCAGTCGCATCAGCAGTGGGGAATTAGAACTCTGTTCTTCCCTCCCCCTGTCTTTTTCTTCCAGTGCAGCAAGTCTGTCGTGTTCATTCAGGACCACAGCACAAACTCTCTCCGCGGTCAGCTGCGCGGCCGGTAGGGAACCAAGCTGACTGGCAACAACCTTGTAGGTGCGGCTAAGGCTGTTTATCATCATGAAGCAAAACACTTCCTCCTGAAGACGAAAATTGCGTTCCACCATCTGTTGACGCAGAAACTTCATTTCTGTCAGGTGCGCTTGAACATCTCCATCAGGCGCAAGTCTCAGATTGGTCAATTTCTCAAAATACAGCAACGCTGAAGAACCAGCATCTCTCTGATGCGTTGTACGCAGCGTGTCCCATACCTCTTTCGCATTTTCTAAATGCTGAACATGCACCAACTGATCATCTGAGACACACAGAATTATAGCAGTCCTGGCCCTTACATTCTGTGACTCCCAACCTCTGGTTGGTGCTGCAGGGATGGGGTTTTCAATTACATCAAAAAGCCTCTGATTCTGCAGCAGGGCCTTCATCTTTACAGACCAAGATGAATAATTGTCATTGGTTAAGGGAGGTGGGCAAGGCAAACCTCCCCCCTTTCTTGGCATCCATCTTGAAGCCAAGCCTCCAGCTCACAATGTCAAACAAACTGTAATATCCAACAGTTGTTTTTTTTCCTTTCTCACGCAGCAAACTGCAAATTGTTTACGCTCTTTGCACCTGGCAGCTAAACACAGGCTGCTATTGAAAAGTCCCTTCCAAGAGCTCGTAAACCTTGTAGCCAAAACATTCTCTGGTTTTGTTTCGCTTTCCCAGGCTTACACGCAGAGTCCAGCCCCTTTGCCAGTAACTTTCCAGGACCGTTACCTAGCAACAATGCATTTCAATAGGACGTCTTATCTACCACAAAAATTTGTGGAATGCAGGCTTCAGCCTTCAAGCTGCAGGCCTCTTCTCCCGGAGCTCTTGTTTTCTTTGAAACGCAGCTCCGTGAACCAGGGAATTAATCTTCCTGCGTTCACACTTTTAGCCCGAAATGCAGCATACCTTGAGCTCCGTTGCTTGGGAAAACACCTCTTCTTTCCACCAGCTGTCTGTGGAGCCTCTGGCTACTTTCAGACGCTTTTCTCTTCCTCCTTGGAGCAGAGGAGGACAATCCACCAGCCTCTCATGCAGATGTTCGATGAATCGCAACCATCCTCTGCTACCACTGTTGGAATTCTGCCTGGGTCAGAGGAATGTGCCACAGCGTAGGCACCGGCAGATATTCCTGTCGACCTCCCCGCGTCTCCACTCTGCTGATAAGCAGGCGAGGTCCGGCGATTCTTCTCAGATGTATGAGAGGAACACACCGTTCTTCCTCTCTCCCCTTTGGTGTCCCCAGGGAGGGGAAAGAAGCAGACAGAAAACTAGTTACATCATTTATTTCTGCCTCTTACATCAGTACAGAGAATCATGTCTGCACTCAACAACAGCAAGACGAAACTCCTCCCAAGTACATCCAGTACGGGTCATAAGACACACACACACTGAGCTAACATCCGGTGCTCAGTACAGAATGGACTGCCCCTTTGTTCCCATGGCAACAGTCACAAACATCCTGTCTGGCTTTCCAGCCACAAGCAGCTGGCTGAGCTGCTAGAGCCTTTGCTTGCTGCAGCATTGGTGCTTTATGGTAACAGAGTTAAGCATCCATGCTTAAAAACCTTCAATGGAAACCCCAACACTTAAAAAAAAAAGTCATGGAAGGGATGAATATGGATTGGAAAAACTGTCTCAAACGACAGTTTCTCTGCTTTAAACACACTCCCAGCCACTTTTTCTCTGAGGGCGCAAAAATATCTATTTGCAAAGTAAATGGGTGGGGTAGGCCTCTAAGTAGCACTGGAAATTATCATGGACGGCTGAGTCACCCCAGAGGCTGGCCGTGGCTCCCGCTGTGAACAGCATCCCTCTCACATTTCAGGTGTCACAAATACCTGTCCTTCTGGCAAGGCTCCAGGGCAGCGCGGATCTTCAGAGCAAAACTCATTACCAAATCCTGACATGTACTGCAAAACAAAAAGTTGTTTCACACAATGAAACCAGCGTCTATAAATAGATATGCTACTTCCTCCCCCAGCACAGACCCCCCAAGCGTCTCTGTTTTCCAGGGACAGTCCCTGATTTAGAGAAGCCGTCCTGGTTTCTGATATGATCACAGAATGTCCTGCTTTTCCTTAGGATGTCCCTATTTTCACTGGAGAAATGTTGGGGTGTGTGGAGTTATCCGATCCCCAAGCCGTCTGAAGGCAATCCTGTATAGGGAATTTTTTAAAAGAAATGTTTAATGTTTAATTATGTTGGAAGCTGCCCAGAGTGGTTGGGGCAACCCACTAAGGTGCATGGGGTATAAATAGCAAAATTATCATTATGGAATGGGATGAGCTGTGTTTTGAATTTTCATACAAATAAGGAGCTGGGAATTAGCAACCCATTTCCGCATTTGTCCAAAAGAAAAAATGTCATGCTTTCTAGTTTTTATTTTGCTTACTCATGTAATATTCGTACAGTGCTTAATGCAAATATATTTAAAAATTCATCTGGCAACATTTTATCTTTGGTTTGGCATTTTTCAAACAAAACTGGGAGATGAAAGTCCACCAGAGCATAAAAAATTAAACGATGTTCATTTATTTGAATGAGCTGAATATAAAGTTGAGTGCTCTCATTGGAAGCTCAGTTCTGGCCTACAAACCATGACCTTTCATTGAAGAGATTAGACAGCAGGCATGGACATATACTTTTGAAGTTGGGTTTCATGAAGTGGAATATGATTAAGGTTGCTTCTCAAACACTGTGCATAATGCATTTTCTGAAGGCCACCCTGGTGACGGCTGTCTTTGAAGAACTCCTGCTATTCTTTTACAAAATGTGGGAGGCATTCAGGGTGGGCCTACATATACAATGCAGGCTGCAAAGTTGAGAAAAATAAAAGGCTTGCGTGTGTCCATCTCTGGATGGAAAAGAGACACACATCTGACCAGTGCTAGAACCACCCACACTGGAGACATCACCTTGCCAACAAATAATAAAAGCTATGGTTTTCCCTGTAGTGATGTATGGAAGTGAGAGCTGGACCATAAAGAAGGCTGATCACCGAAGAATTGATGTTTTTGAATTCTGGTGCTGGAGGAGACTCTTGAGAGTCCCGTGGACTCCAAGAAGATCAAACCTCTCCATTCTCAAGGAAATCAGCCCTGAGTGCTCACTGGAAGGACAGATCCTGAAGCTGAGGCTCCAAGACTTTGGCCACCTCATGAGGAGAGAAGACTCCCTGGAAAAGACCCTGATGTTGGGAAAGATGGAGGGCACAAGGAGAAGGGGACATCAGAGGACGAGATGGTGGGACAGTGTTCTCGAAGCTACCAGCATGAGTTTGACCAAACTGCAGGAGGCAGTGGAAGACAGGAGGGCCTGGCGTGCTCTGGTCCAGGGGGTCACCAAGAGTCGGACATGACTAAACGACTAAACAACAACAACATGTGGTGTGAAACTCCCCAAATATCTCCCCCTTTGGTGAAAAGGAAAATATTTCAGCTGCAAAGGCTGTTTGTGATGCACCCTCCCTGCCTCTCAGTCCAACACGTGCACACATCTTCTCTGGAATAGGTAAAAGGTAAAGGTAAGGGACCCCTGGATGGTTAAGTCCAGTCAAAGCTGACTCTGGGGTTGCAGCGCTCATCTCACTTTCAGGCCGTGGGAACTGGAGTTTGTCCACAGACAGCTTTCAAGGTCATGTGGCCAGCATGACCAGCTTCTGGAGCAACAGGACACCACGACGGAAACCAGAGCGCATGGAAACGCCATTTACCTTCCCACTGAAGCAGTACCTATTTATCTACTTGCACTGGCATGTTTTCGAGTGGCTAGGTTGGCAGAAGCTGGGAAAGAGCAACCGGAGATCAGTCCATTGCAGGGATTCGAACTGCTGACCTTCTGATCAGCAAGCCCAAGAGGCTCAGTGGTTTAGACCACAGTGCCACCTGCGTCCCCTTCTCTGGAATATTTGCATACCCTCCAAGGGTTCTGATTTTCCAGGGACAGTCTTGGAATTGTGATAGGATTGCCATATTGTTGAGCTTTTTCAAGGAAGATTTCACAGTGTTACAATTCTTCCCGGCAAGCCTTAAACTACAGTGTCCAGAATTCTTTGAGGGGGAATATATGCTTTGAATGTGCTTTAAAGGTATACTGTATCCTAGTCAGGCGGCAAAGCAGGCAGCAGATTTCTGCTAGAGCTATTTTCATGGTGCAAATAAAAATTTAAAAATCTTCCAACACATCTGGAAAGTTCTTGTTCAGTCTAGAGACTTTAGAGTTAACTGAGAGTTATGCAAAAGCAAGACGGTATCAGTACGATTGGCTGGAAGAGGAACACCCCCCAAATACCAAGAGGACGTGTGCTGGGGGGAAGGGATGTCAAATATTCAGCTGGGAAAGAAAAGACAGTCTGGCTTGTGAAACTGAGGGAAGTTGGGATCTGCAGTTAAGAGAAAAACCAACTTGCAACCCAAATTTAGACAGCCAAAATCAAAATATGGGGAGAAAATGATTCAGTTAAATAGAATGACTGACGTTTAAAACTTTTCAGATCAGCAAAAATGGAAGGGACATTTGAAAACTTGCAATTAAACAAACAGGTTATTAAAATAGTTGGCTCCTCTGTCCAAGCCAAACAGCAGAACGATCTGGAGGCACCATACTTCCCCTGCACACATCTGGATTTAAAAGCACATGAAAACATCTGGTTTCCATTCTGCATGCTGAAAACGTTTGCAGCCAGGATTCCAAATAAGATTTAAAGGGATTCCCACACCAGCTTGAAACAAAGTATTCTATAGATCTCCTAAGAAATAATAGTTGTTAGAGGGAAATTGGAAGGCGAGGAAATGTTTCAGCTCTTCCAGAGAGAGCTCAGGGCTCTCAGTGCTACGGATGTCTTACCTTCAGCTCTGCAAATTTGTCCATGCTTGTTGTGTTACAGGGGAAGTCACAAAAGCTAAGCCAGGTGTTTCGTCCAGCTGATAAGCCAGTGAGTTCCAGTGATGGAATATTCTTTATTTTCTTGTGGCGGCAGCTGAGGACAGTCTTGATCGTGTGATGGCAAGAGCTCGACCCTGCAAGTCGAGACAGTCCAAGAGAAGTTTTGAACTCGTTACTCAACCAAGCCTGAGTTTAATAAGAAACAGACTTCTCTGCTAGAGCAAACGGAGGAATTGATCTTTGCAGATCAACAAACAGAAAGGGGGGGAAGAGGGGAGGGGAAGGGCAGCTTGTTGGCAGTTTTTGTTCACTTTATTTCAGCTCACGTTAGCAAGGAACCAAGAAAATCTAAGTATGGATAGACATTTAAGTTAAAATAGCAACAATTAATAAGGAATGATTAGAATTATGACAAACATATGTACAAAAAAATAGAATATCCCTTTTGAGCCATTGGCAATATGCCTGGTTTTATATTGAAGGTGACTTTTGGGGGGCTCGGGGATATTGTGGTTGTGCCTCTTCTGAGACCATCATTTTACATTTTCTTTAGCTGTTCCTTAAGAAAGTGTTGAAGGGACGCGGGTGGCGCTCTGGGTTAAACCACAGAGCCTAGGACTTGCCGATCAGAAGGTCAGCGGTTCGAATCCCCGTGATGGAGTGAGCTCCCATTGTTTGGTCCCTGCTCCTGCCAACCTAGCAGTTCGAAAGCACATTAAAGTGCAAGTAGATAAATAGGTACCGCTCTGGCGGGAAGGTAAACGGCGTTTCCATGCGCTGCTCTGGTTCGCCAGAAGCGGCTTAGTCATCCTGGCCACATGACCCGGAAGCTGTACGCTGGCTCCCTTGGTCAATAAAGTGAGATGAGCGCTGCAACCCCAGAGTCGGCCATGACTGGACCTAATGGTCAGGGGTCCCTTTACCTTTACCTTTAAGAAAGTGTTGTGAGCCAGTGCAATCGATTCTTTCTTCTATATTCAAAAGGAAAAGCAACTGCTCTATGTGGTCTATCCAGCACCTCATCTTTTTACAAAAAAGAGAAAGAAACCCAAACCCCAATCTCACTGCATAAGCTATTGTTTAGGGTGGCAGTTCTCCGAGGGTACGCCACGCCACAGTGTTGTGGCAGGAGAGGGTGGCAAGTGTGGCAGGAAGATTCAAGGACAATCCAAGAAACATTTGAACATTTCAGGGTAGGATAGGGCAGGGTGGATGCTGGGGGGGGGGGCGCCCCGGGTGTCACCACTGAGGAGGGTGACAAAAAGCCAGGTGGCACTCACCGCGGGGCCTGCAATGCGCCCGGGCCACACATCTCTCCTGGGAGTGATGTGGTGGCTTGGGCACGTGCAGCCTCCGTGATGCCCCAAATGGTCCACCCACAGCCTCCCCCTCAGCTGTAGGGCGGCTGGGGGGGAGGAGGCAGGCAGACTCCTTGGAGGCCCCGTGGAGCATCCTGCCCTGACTCGCCCCATCCTGTGGGCAGCTGGCCCTGCCTCTGGGGGCAGGACACACCTGCTGCTCCAGGCGCCTGACCAGCTTACTGTGCCACTGGGATAGAGTTGAGTCCTTTTTTAATTTATTTTTTGTGGAATATGGATAGAAAAGTTTCAAAATGAGAGCAAGAGCATTGGCTATTCTTTTATTATTACTATTATTTTGTTTTACATATTTAATATTATAATCATATCACAACACATCCAAAGTTACAAGGTTCCCCCGAATCTCTGGACTTCCCACCTTCCCCTCCATGGTTCTGTTGTTAAACCCTTTCTACTGCATCTTTTTAAAAATAATCCATATTTTTAATAACTCCATTGTGTCCATAGTTCTTGTTACATTACAGTGGTACCTCTGGTTACAGACGTTTCAGGTTACAGATGCTTCAGGTTACAGACTCCACTAACCCAGAAATAGTTTATTTCCTTGACATCTGATGGGAAGGCATTCCACAGGATGGGCCCACTGAAAAGGCCCTCTGCCTGGTTCCCTGTAACCTCACTTCTCACAGTGAGGGAACCACCAGAAGGCCCTCAGAGCTGGACCTCAGTGTCCGGGCAGAACGATGGAGGTGGAGATGCTCCTTCAGGTCTACTGGACCAAGGCCGTTTAGGGCTTTAAAGGTCAGCACCAACACTTTGAATTGTGCTCGGAAATGTACTGGGAAACTATGCTCATTCTAATTCCATAGTTAGCACATGCTTGGAAGTGTGGGATAAGTGTGGCACAAAATGCAGACGTAGGGAACCTGTGCTTGCAATGCCATTTTATTCAAACTTTTTATGTCAGCTGATGGGTCAGGGCTCATATCTGCACTGTCTCAGGTGCCTGCAGCCAAAGCAGCAGGATTTAACCCCCCACTTAGCAGATGATGGGTTAAATCCTGCTCAGTTTGATCGAACTTGCCCATTCCCTCTTGTGAACAGATGCACAAAGCCAAAGGAAGCAGCAGGAGGGGGAGGGGGAAACAGGTCTGCTATCCTTCACTGCATGCCTGTTTCTTGGAAGGTGTGTGCTGCAAAAACAAATAGACTTTTTCCCCTGCATCCCTGCATGATGAAGAAGTCTTGCTGCGTGGAGGGAGAAACCTGCTTTATGTAGACATGGGCTCCGATAGGGACTTCTCCATGGTGCAGTGCTGCAGGGAAAAATGGCGTCTGCGTGCTTTGCTGACCCCGGGTTTTTCCACCTACATCACTACACAACAAAGAAATTGTGCCTCCCACAGGAAAAGGGAAAATAATTATTTAGAAAAAGCAGTTCCTTGCACAAGGGGTTCTTTCACCTCTGCTCCCTGTGAGCGCATGCTGAGCATGGGTTAAATTCTACCCAGTTTTGCTGCATGCAAGTCCCAGGGGGCGGAGTGTTTACCCAAGGATACTTGCCAGTGCAAAAGATACACAAAGCATGTCATGGCTGAAGAGAGTTTCTGATGGACAGTGACTGGATTTAATAGGGCATTCAGACCTATTTCTCAACCTTCCCAGACATATGCTCTAAGTATTCGAGTCCTGTGCATATGAGTATCTAGTGTTCTTTGCTTAAATGCAAAAACTCAATTAAATATCCACCAGGTTTTTAATTTTTTATTATTGTGCTTAGCAACATCATTTATTTTCAATGTCGGCTTTCCAAATCTCTTCCGGTTTCCCTCGCTTATTTTTTACACAACTCGTTACAGCTCATAGATATTTTGGGTAGGGGGTCCCTTAGCAACAGGATGAAATCAACGCCATAGCATCAGCAAGAGTATTGTTCAGTAAGCTGGAATGCTGATGTTTTCATTGCTTATAAGCCTTTGATTCTTAAGTTATTTTTCCAAATCCACCTCAGCGCAACCATTCTGCTAGGGGTGGAAGCACAGGTTCATAAAACTTTCAGAACACAGAAAAAACATGGGTTTGCATTCAACCAAGTCATGCTCAGAGGAGACCCCTTGGAAATAAATAAACTTAACTTGTTCATTGACTTCAGTGGGCCTACTCTGGGTAGCACTTGGATGCATATAACCCCATTTTATGGGGCAGCATATTCCACGATGTTGTTGCCTAACCAGTGAAATCATTGCACTATGTCCAAAAGATCTCGGGTTCTTTCCAGAGGTCTGGAAAGAGATCCTTCTGCATATGTTCAGAAGCACTTGAAGTGGAGCAGTCTTGGCGATTTATGTGCTCCAAAACTTGATTTTGTTAGCAAAAGTATCTGTTGTGGTAACAGGAATGTTGCAGTAAAAGCGTTATCGTTCTTTTTCCATAGTCTCTAGTTGGCAAGTGGCGGTCAGTCGTAGTGAAGATTCTTTACAAAGCCGCCTCCAAATCTTTTCCTCTCTGGGAAGCTAGGAATCTGTTAGACAAAAAACCTTACATTAGAATTGGTTTTTACCAGTCCTTTTCAACCAGTGTGCCGTGAATGATGGTCAGGGGTGCCGCAGGCAACAATGGCCCCTCTCCCTCTTCTGATCCCTTCTTGCATCTCTGCCCCCCATGGACTTGCAAGGCTGTTTGTTGCAGCAACTCTGGCTTCCAGCTCTGCAGGCGAATGGTGCCTCTGGGGGGGCTCCTCTCTTGGGGCGGGGGGGCGGGGGAGGGCAACCCAGAGACATGAGGCAGTAGCAGCGGCTGCCCGGAGGACTCCCAAGTAGAGGGGAGAGGAGAGGAGGTTGAGGGAACACTTCATAAAGAAGGGTGTTCAAAAAGGGGTGAGGGGTTGCTGGTGCTGCAGGCAAGGGGTGACATAAGGGGTGCCGCAGAAAGAATGCAGTTGGTCAAGGGAGCTGTGGACTCAAAATGGCTGAAAATCTCTGGATATACAATATTGGCAGAAGTACCTGGCATTGCCCGGGAATTTTTAGAAACAAAAAAATACTGCCTTTTGCAATTTCAGAACCACTTGAAGCATCCATCGTGTTGAGGTATTTCAATTGCTTTTGTTTGATGTGTTCAATGCAAACAGCTGAAAATCTGTAAATTTTTATAATAACCCTGATTTGCAATGGGGGTTGAATAATTCTGACTGCAACTCTATGATGACATAACTACCATTACCAGACATTACCTTCTGCGTACATTTTGAGACATACCTACTTGCTTTCCTTCCCAGCTCTTTGCTGAGGAGATTAAAAATTAAGCAAAGCAGAGGCTTTATCTCATTGGTGAGTTTTGCAATGACTTGGATTACATCAGTGCTTGCCCTTTTGACATCTCTTCCCATTTTCCCCCCTTTGCCAAAGCTTTCAAAATTTTAACTGTTAAGGAGAGAGCACACATACCTGGTTACCATCTCGTAAGTAGTACCTCTTCTCTATGACCTGAAACAAAAATAAAAAGGGAAGAGTGAGTGTTGTGCATTGGTTTATACAACAGATTTTGTGGCAGCCCAATTGGTTTAAGTAAGGATGTTTCCATACGGTGCCATTGCCCAGCCTGGCTGAGAGTAATTAAATTCACACAGCATTGCAGCCTGAAGCCGGTTACAATCTATGGCAAAGGCTGAAAGAGCATGGTACTTTTTTCTAAAAAAAAAGAAAGACTTTTAAACACAGGCAGTAGAAGGACTTCTCAATGAGAAGGTATTTTTCTCCCTCCAAAAGATTGCCCTGGATTTTTTCTGGGGCATTCTGGGAAGAACTGTAGAGAAAAATCCGGTTTGATGCTGAAGTCAGGATATCTGTATTAACTTTGCAGCCTCAACAGCGTAAGCCAGCACACTGCCTCAAGAGGCTTGGGCCAAGAGGAGAAACAAATCTAAGGACTCCTGCATTCCTGCAGTGGTTGAGGAGAGTTGGCTTCCATGGGGTGTTGGCGAGGGAATGGAGAGTTGGACTTCCTCCACCCCACCATCTGCTGGCTCCTGCTTCCTCTGGCAAGACCACTGCCATCCAGCCAACCTGAAGGGAGAGGCGCTGTTCTTTTTTTATATAACTTTTATGAAATTTTATGTTTTACAATTTAAAATACTCATGTTAACATCCTTAAAATATCAATGACTGCCCTTCTTCTCTTTCCATAGTTCATTTTGCATATCCCATATTTTACAAAAACTAAACCATTCAGTCTTCCATTATTGCATCCATCCAACTTATTTACGCTGTTGAATTTATCTTAATGCTGCCAGCGTTTTCACATGTACACAATTTCCCCCCATATATTCAATAAACATTTCCCGATCTTCTATAAACGTATGTTCTTCTTGTTCTCTTATTCTATATGTTAAGTCTGCAAGCTGCACATATTCCATCAGCTTAAGTTGCCATTCTTCTTTGGTTGGGACCGTGCTCATTTTCCATTTTGGAGCTAATGAAACACGGGCCGCAGCAGTAGCATACATAAATACGGTAAGTTTAAGTGAAGTCTGCTGCAACTGGATTTCTTATGAACAGTGCCAATCCTGAATGTACGGGATTTGTGACCATTATGCTCATTTGCCTTCAGTAGCAGTAAAGCTCAGCTGAATGAAATGCCTCTGGGAATCCTGCAATGTGTTGTAAATTTTTACTCTGCTAACTATACATTGGAATCTGCTCTGGATCAATACTGAGTAGAATTTCAATGACACCTCATTGCCTTCTATATACAGCTGTTGCATAGTCAGACAGACAGAAAAATCTCAGAGCCTTAATTTAAAACCCAGAAATGGGCTGAATCAGAAATGGGTGACTTCTTGCCTGTAGCCTTCTTCTGCATTATAAAAAGTATTTCCTGTATGTTCCTGCTCTGCTGTTCTCTTATCCTGCATTATTTCCTGGCGCTACCTGAACTCTTCATCTCCAGTCTTGTTAATCTGCCTATTTATCACTTGTCCAGTGTGCCTGAACTGCTCTCACAGAATACAGCTCTCCCTGACCACAATTTTTTAGGTCCTCACCAGGTTGTCTCAGCCTGGACTGCTCAGTTACTGGAATCTGTTCAAGCAGCTGCAAAGGAAATTCAGTGGCCTATGCAATTCACATCAGGTTACTTACTTTCTATGCTGCAAAAATGAAAAAGCAATAGATATGCAGTACCTAACTGAAAGACTCACCTTGTCAAAGAATCTACTAAGCTTCACAGCGTTGGAGGAGCCTGCAGCCAGGTAGCGAGGGTTGGTGCAGTCCTGAAAACATCAACAGGTAACTTTCTCTTGAGAGTCATTGAAACCACAATCCTTAACAAGCACATGAGTTCTGAACTGAAGACATAATCCTGTGCTCAATAGGGCTGGGCGATATATTGTCCAAAACAGGTTTGAAGTCCATATTGTGATCATGATTTCAAAATGTTTGACCTGGCTATATATATATATATATATATAGTGTGTGTGTGTGTTATGCAAAAATCACAACGTGGGGAAAACCGTGAAGCCAGCCAGTGCCTCTACATAGCTCCATCCTTATTGCAGACATCATGATATATCAGTATATCACGATGTTTAGCTGGTGATATATCACGATGCTGAAAACCAAATATCGCCAACCCTAGGGCTCAAACTGAAGCCATAGCTGTGTATTAGAGTCAGTTCACACAAGGGAATTTTTTTATGTGGACAATCAGTTTCACGTAGAAAGACAGGAATCAACCAGTCGTGCCCAAGCTTGGTAGCCAACAATTATTTCTATTAGCCACTGAGAATATAACAGAAATGTCCTTGACCACCTGAAGAATGCTGCTCACTTTCCACTGACCAAATGAAGCCTGCCTTGCCACTTACACACAAAATTAATTAAAAGATCAAGTAACATCTTTTCTCCACAAGTTCATGCCCTTGAGCATCTATGTCCTGAATGAGGTAACTGTGCCCCTGAAGGACCAGGTGCGCAGCCTGGGAGTCAATTTGGACTCACAGCTGTCCATGGAGGCACAAGTCAATTCTGTGTCCAGGGCAGCTGTCTACCAGCTCCATCTGGAACGCAGGCGGAGACCCTACCTGCCCACAGACTGTCATGCCACTGGTGAATGCTCTACTTATCTCCTGCTGGGATTACTCAATGTGCTCTATGTGGGGCTACCTTAGAAGGTGACCTGGAAACTACAATTAATCCAGAATGCGGCAGCTAGACTGGTGACTGGGAGAGGCTGCTGAGACCATATAACACCGGTCTTGAAAGACCTACACTGGCTCCCAGTACGTTTCCGAGCACAATTCAAAGTGTTGGTGCTGACCTCTAAAGCCCTAAATGTCCTTGGCCCAGTAGACCTGAAGGAGCGTCTCCACCCCCATCGTTCTGCCTGGATACTGAGGTCCACCTCCGAGGGCCTTCTGGCAGTTCCCTCCCTGCGAGAAGTGAGGTTACAGGGAACAAAGCCGAGAGCTTTCTGGGTAGTGGCACCCACCCTGTGGAACGCCCTCCCAGCAGATGTCAAAGAAATAAACAACTATCTGACTTTTAGAAAACATCTGAAGGCAACCCTGTTTGGGGAAGTTTTTAATGTTTGATGCACTCCACCTCATTTGTGCCTGAGTACAGCCTAACAGAAATTTGTTTTCAGTAACAGGCTAAAAGTGTTTCCCCCACAGGATAAATCTACTCTAGGTTTTTCTGGCAGTCTAATGTAGTTGCTGTAATGGAACCTCTCTCCTGGCCTCCACCTCCTGCTGCAATCAATGCTGTGAATAATTAGGCTGCCACTATTAAAACTGACAGAGATGCAGACTGATTATCATTCTTTAACAATAGCAAATTCTCTGAATTATTTAAAGTATGCAACGCATACTATTCTGGTTAACTCTGTAACGTTTGTGTAAATGATTTGAAGATTGCATAAACACAATAAATCTGATTTGGAAAAAAAGTTTTTATGCCCTTTTTCATATACATATATATAAAATCTTAATCCAAATTGACAAAAATAAGGTACAAAATACCAACCAGATTAATTTCTTCTGCACTGAAATCCTCAGCAAGGAAAGCAGTTCTGGTCAAGACGTCACTGCGTTTCACTTCTGGGATCTGGTCCAGCTTGGTCCCTATGACAAGCAGCGGAATCTGGTTATCAGCAAACTGCTCACGGTCATAGTCCCTACACAAGAAAAAGAGGATGTGTGTGTCAGTAAACGATATTTTCCACTGGTCATTAAATACACTAACATTAACTGGGAGGGAAGCAGCAGCAGATGTAGAACGTTTGTTCATATGTGGTGGACTTGTAAAAGGGTAAAAGAGTATTGGGAAATACTCTTCAACACACATTTTGGAAAAGGGGAGAGACACTCTCAACTTATCTCATCCCTCCATCACATCTGCCATGATTGTCAGGTCCTCTGCACACTCACCCATTGGTCACCAGCACTCCTGATGGAGCCACATCTCTGTTGAGAGCTTCCAAAGACCACCGATACAGGTTCTGGGAGGACTTCTTGTTGGTTAAGTCATGTACTAAAATTATGCCTAAATAAGTACAAGGCCATTCATAAATACAATGACTTCTTCCAAACACCGTCTAAATTATGTTGAAAGACATTGCAGGGTGAGAACACAAGGCAAGGTTGAAAGAACCGCACAACTAGTTTCACATACCCAAGGTAGTTTGGGTCTTTTTGTTTCCTGTACAGCACCCTATGCAATTTGCTTTTGAAATCAAAGGGAATCTCCAATTTACTGCCCTTGATTATTCTCTTTACTATTGTTCCAAGTCCTCTCCTACAGGAAAACTGGGGTTACATGCTTCCCTCACGTCATTCATTATGGACTACCTCTCAGAATTCCCTTTGATCAATGCAGGAATTTTGAAAGTCATTTTATTTAAGAGATGTTGCAACTTATGGAGATAAATCTTATAGCACCCCTTTCCATCCCCAGCCAGATAGTTTCAATAGAACATTGCTACACATGTTGAGGACTCTAGTCCCTAAACAGGAAAGACAATACATGTTAACTATTTAATATATCCTTATAAGTGTTCTTCTCCTTCAGAGTTGGTGTTGCACATTTGGTTCTTTCCAACCATACAACTCCATGAACACAAATTATAAAAGGATCAGAGCTCCAAAGGGCCTTGTGCTTTTAATCCCCAGTCTCTCAGTATGTGTGGCGTTGTATCCACTGTGGCAGAGGGTTGCCACAAATTTAATCTGTTTGCAAGCTTGTGTCTACCAGGTTACAAACAGGCACCATGAACACCTTTACACCCAGAAAATGATTTCAGAAAGCAATTTTAAGCAGATTTGCCAGAATGTACATGTATATGGTATCTACAAAAGTAAAAAAAATTCATATCTAAATTCAGCCAAGTAAAGAACCCTGCTGTGATATTAGAAACTCTCCCTTGCAGTACTTCTGGAATAGGTTCTGCATGAACCAAGTTAACAGGTGTTCTCATAGAATGAAAGTAATAGGAAACAGATCTTAAAACCTGCATACATTACCGTTAACTGAGTTGTAGAACACAACACGTGTGCTTTTTACACTACTGGCACTGCCCACTGAACCACCAACATCCCATAATTCAATATAATAAGTCTTCTCTTCTGGGGTTCCTTCTTTGTAGTCATGAATCTGAAAATGAAAAACCAAGAGTGCCATGTATGTAGAACAAGGAAATACAGATTTCTACTTGAAGGCATATGGTTTGGTTACAAACCATCAATCTATTGTTGTGCCTTTTGTAATGGTTTTGTCCATAAAAATAAATATAAGATTCGTTTTCGTATTATCCTAACAACCACTTTATATAGGGCCATTAGCATGCATAGCACTTTGCTGCTCCTCCAAAGGCCTTCATGAAAAGGGTGGGTTTTGGAGAGGGGTTTAAGAGCATGAGAACCGACATGCTGGATCAAAATCCATCTGGTCTGACATTCAGCTTGCACTAGCAGCTAGCTGCCAAAAGCTCAAGAACAAGGGGCACGACGATGACAGCTGTCCTCTCTTTTGGCTCCAGCATTTGGTACCAAGATGCAAACTGACGCTTCACATGTAAATTCCATTTAATTTTCCTGCCAAATAGCTGTTGATAGGCACCCCCATGACTTTTTCTAATCCTTAAAAAAAATCATTTGAGGGGAAGGAGGCACTCGATCCATAGATCATGTGCTTGATCCCATGGTTGCTTCTTCTAACATTTCTAGAGGACATAAGCGAGGAACTACTATAGGATCAGTTGAAAAAGCTGCAAGTTATCAGTATATTTCGTCCCATTCCTAGTCATCCAGATGTCTTCATTAATGGTCCAGTGGTTCCCAATTGGTGGTCCTTGTAACCCCCCACTGAGAGGGTCCATGGCACCATTCTCCTAACAAAACTACCACAGAGATCTCAAACTTTTCAAAAGTAGAGGGTCTATGGCTTGGCTGTTAAAAAACACAGGACCCAAAGTATTTAGCTAATTGGGAACCACTGTATTAGACAAAATATGTGAGGGAACACATCATGGATGGAATAGCACAGAGGAGAACAAACTATTCCCCAACCACTTCTATGAATACAGCCAGTGCAGTCTGTCAAAGGCAAGTTGATCTGCTCAGGGCTGTTCAATCTCCTGCAAGGGCAAGCATGTGGTCTGCCAAAATTTGATTTGATGTATCAAAAGCTGCTGCAAGGCCACACCAGTTCAACTGGGTAACGTTACCTCAGCCTTCTGTTTAACAAATTGCCTGGCTGGTATCCATAGGTGACCAGGAATTCCTTGCAAACATGTGACCAGGCTGGCAAAGAAGAGACAACTCTTTCCATTCCTTCTCCACCAGTCAACTTAGCAGCTGGGGAGACTTCCTTTCCTCTGTCGCCAACACAAAACCATGGTCTACTAGCTTTTCAGCAGTTTAGAAAAAAATGGTGTGCCCGTAACTTTTGTGGGCTTATTTACAAATCTGCATTACTTTATCTACACCAGAGGCTGGATTGAAAACAGATCAACCTACTAATGTTTGCCTGCTTCAGAACTAAGATTTCGTGCTCCCTACTGCAATAGCCTATTGTTTCACAATTCCCTTTGCAACCTGATCATATGTTTCTACTTTGCCAATAAGCCTTCAGAATTTCCCTCGTCTTTGAAGTGAAATACCACCAAACAACATAAATTTATAATTCCACCTACTCGGACATCAACGGAGCAGCCTACAGTCCAAGACGGGTTTCCCAACATCTGATTGTGACATAAGAGGTGAACAAGAGATGACTTCCCCACACCTGCAAAAAAAGGCAACTGCAAACTAAGCCTTCATAGCAAGTGAAACATCACTGCCTTTCTTGTAAATTTTCTGTGTAGTTTAAATTATGGAGGAACAAGCAGATTTTGAAACTCCTAGTAGGATAGCCCTTAGAGCAGCCTTCCCCAACCCTGGGTCTCCAGATGTCCTGTACCTTTCATACCTTTTACCTGCAGGTGAGGACTAGAGATGGGAAGGCCTGGGGGGGGGGGGGAAACGGAAAAATTGGGGAGAAAGCCAGGTTTTTTCCAAATGGAAAAAAAATGTCTTTGGAAAAATACCTGGTTTATTTCCACATTTCCCCGGAGCAGTGCACAGAAACGGCTTTTACCTTCCTACCTGAGTGGTACCAATAATAATAATAACTTATTATTTATACCCCGGTCATTTGGCTGAGATTCCCCAGCCACTCTGGGCGGCTCCCAATCGAGTGTTAAAAACAACACAGCATTAAATATTAAAAACTTCCCTAAACAGGGCTGCCTTCAGATGTCTTTTAAAGATAAGATAACTGCTTATTTCCTTCACATCTGAAGGGAGGGTGTTCCACAGGGAGGGCGCCACTACCGAGAAGGCCCTCTGTCTGGTTATTAATCTACTTGCACTGCGTGCTTTCAAATTACAGTGGTGCCTCGGGTTAAGTACTTAATTCGTTCCAGAGGTCCGTTCTTAGCCTGAAACTATTCTTAACCTGAAGCATCACTGTAGCTAATGGGGCCTCCCGTTGCCGGAGCCCAATTTCTGTTCTCATCCTGAAGCAAAGTTCTTAACCCGAGGTAATATTTCTGGGTTAGCGGAGTCTGTAACCTGAAGCGTATTTAACCTGAAGCATATGTAACCCGAGGTACCACTGTATTGCGCTTCTTAATGCATGCCAGCCTTCCTTCTGGATCGTGTTAGCGAACATCTTCTACCCGAATACAGTGGTACCTTGGGTTAAGTACTTAATTCGTTCTGGAGGTCTGTTGTTAACCTGAAACTGTTCTTAACCTGAAGCACCACTTTAGCTAATGGGGCCTCCTGCTGCTGCCGCGCCGCCAGAGCACGATTTCTGTTCTCATCCTGAAGCAAAGTTCTTAATCCGAGGTGCTATTTCTGGGTTAGCGGAGTTTGTAACCTCAAGCGTCTGTAACTTGAGGTACCACTGTACTAGGTTGGCAGGAGCTGGGACGGAGCAATGGGAGCTCACCCTGTTGTGGGGATTTGAACCGCTGACCTTTCGATCAGAAAGCCCTAGGCTCAGTGGTTTAGACCACAGCGCCACCCGCGTCCCTACACCCATGTAACACCCATTAAAAAGGTAAAGGGATCCCTGACCATTAGGTCCAGTCGTGGCCGACTCTGGGGTTGCGGCGCTCATCTCGCTTTATTGGCCGAGGAAGCCGGCGTACAGCTTCCAGGTCATGTGGCCAGCAGGACTAAGCCGCTTCTGGTGAACCAGAGCAGTGCACGGAAACGCCATTTACCTTCCCGCCGGAGCGGTACCTATTTATCTACTTGCACTTTGACGTGCTTTCAAACTGCTAGGTTGGCAGGAGCAGGGACCGAGCAACGGGAGCTCACCCCGTCGTGGGGATTTGAACCGCCGACCTTCTGATCGGCAAGTGCTAGGCTCTGTGTTTAACCCACAGCGCCACCCACGTCCCTACACCCATTACATCTATATTATTATGAATTATTACTATTATTATTATTATTATATACAGTGGCACCTTGGGTTAAGAACTTAATTCATTCTGGAGGTCCGTTCTTAACCTGAAACTGTTCTTAACCTGAAACACCACTTTAGCTAATGGGGCCTCCTGCTGCTGCCGCGCCACCGGAGCATGATTTCTGTTCTCATCCTGAAGCAAAGTTCTTAACCCGAGGTACTATTTCTGGGTTAGCAGAGTCTGTAACCTGAAGCGTCTGTAACCTGAAGCATATGTAACCCGAGGTACCACTATACTCTCCTTTTCCTACTCATGTTGAAATACTGCCCCTCAATGAGGCCAAACTTAGATGCACAAAATGTTGAGGGGTCTGCGTCCCCCTGCCAGAAAAAAAGCACTGGATAATTCCCAAAATACACCATGTATTGCAGCAGCAAATACAATGGTACTTCTGGTTACGGGGTCTGTAACCTGAAGCACTATTTCTGGGTTAGTAGAGTCTGTAACCTGAAGTGTCTGTAACCTGAAGCGTCTGTAACCCGAGGTACCACTGTATTATGAATTATTACTATTATTATTATTATTATTATATACACCCGAGTGTTGGCAAGTCCCTTCCTCTCCCCCCGCAGCCTGAAGTCCGCTCTGCGGCTTTTCTTTCCCTCTTCTCCGGGCTGCCTACCTGCCTGGACCTCACCTGCCCGCCCCCCCCCCCGCTCACCTGAATCCCCCAAGACCAGCACCTTCACCCTCTCCAAAGCCGCCATCGCCCCTGCTCCGAGTGAGTGACGCGCCCGCCAGCCAATCGCAGCTCCCGCCTCCCGCCGTCAGTTACGCTCTCCGAGGTAGGAAAGCCCGTCGCCCTTCGTCTCTTCCTCCCCATTGGCTGGCAGCTGCGCCGCTCGCCCCACCCCACCCCAGTTTTCGCGCTCGTCATTGGCTCTCGGGAAGCCGCGCCTCACGGAGTGACCGTTGCCTTACCTTTCGCCGGCGTCGCGCGGCAGTGACGTACTGCGCCGGCGACGGCCTCGCTCGCCCACTCGGTGCGGCCTGGCGGCGGCGGCGGCGACGAGACTGGCGTGTCCGGGGCTCCTCGCAGGTCAGTCGAAGCGGCCCTCGGAGCGGGGGGGAGGCCGAATCCCCGTAAGCCTCCCCCCACCCCGGCGCACGCTTATGACGTCCCACACACCCATTCTGCCCCCTCAGCCTCCGGGTTGCCCTTAGCAGCGGGAACATCCCTTGGTACCCTAGCCGGACAAGAGATGGGGAGGCCTGGGGGAAAACCCGGAAAAATGGGGGGGGGGGAACGGGGACTGGCTTTCCACCCAATTTTTCCGGTTTTTCCCAGGCCTTCCTATCAACTCCGGGCGGCTCTCAACAGAAGACCAGAAACACGACAAAACTTCAAACATTAAAAACTTCCCTAAACAGTTGCCAGTCTTTTTGGTGAGGTTTTCTGCTTTCTCCACATGAAATTTAAAATCTCAAATGAAAGGTGGAGAAATAGTGAAGAGTATGCAGTAGAAGTAAATAATAAAAATTATATCAGATCCCCGTACAGTGGTACCTCGGGTTACAGATGCTTCAGGTTACAGACTCCGCTAACCCAGAAATAGTGCTTCAGGTTAAGAACTTTGCTTCAGGATGAGAACAGAAATCGGGTTCCGGCGGCGCAGCAGCAGCAGGAGGCCCCATTAGCTAAAGTGGTGCTTCAGGTTAAGAACAGTTTCAGGTTAAGAACAGACCTTCAGAATGAATTAAGTACTTAACCCGAGGTACCACTGTATCTAATTTTGTGCCTGTTCAAGTAGAAACGGAGGGATTTCCCCACCCCGCAACTGATGAGTAAGCCCATAGAAAATAGAAAGCCCGAGTATAAACTTGTTGAACTTTATACTTTATTAGGCACTATATGAGGGAAATGGGGAAAAGATGAAGATTTATCGAAAGAAAATCAGAAGAAGATGGTTTGAAAGCCAGAGGAGTGTGGTATGATCAACAATCCCCTGGAAGTTTGGTAAAAGGGCAGAGAAGATGATGATTTGTCCAGGAGAAGATCCATGAATACCATAGTGAGAGCACTTCTAATGAAAACTAGATTGAAGAGGATCAAAGAGAATTGAATAACAAGCAGGAAAGGCAGTGTAGCTAGAAGAGGTGGGTATGACTGGAAAAACGTGGTTCAGCTGAGTAATGAGGAGATGTGGCTTATGGTAAAAAAAAAATAGATCAACTTTGTTCTCAAGTATGGAGGCAGGAAATACAGAGAGACAGATGAGATTCATATTACATGTTATTCTACAAGATTGAAAGATCTGGATGGGAGGAGTGGTTAAGGAAGGGTTGAGAAGTAGAAAACAGGACTCCAAACTAGAAAGAAGTGATGGAGTAACATAGCCTTGAATATATGTAGATAACTCCATCTGCCCACAACGCCAGTAAAACAAGATTTACTTGAATGATGTGTCTGGCAAAAGGTTGAATAGATGTATATAATAGGCTGTTGCTTATTTAGATAATTGGGCATTGCTGGCACTACTTTGTACTAAAAGGCAATTTCAACTTAATTTGATCGCATAGCCAAATTAAGGCTGCTTACCTAGGAGGAAGTCCCATTGAACTCAGTTGGGCTGAGAAGACAACTACAGAGTTGCATTGTAAGCCTGCAGATATTTCTGCCTTTTCATCTTAAAATCAAAAATTTCTGCAGATAAGGCAAAATTGCACCTAACTTTATCTTTGGTGGGTGGAATATCCTTGAACATCCAGCACAAAGAAGCATAATTCAAAAACACTGGCCCCATTACAGGTAGTATAATTGTTTTTGAGATTTCATTTCTTGGTACGGATTTAAAACCCATCTGTGTTGACTGGTGGTGTTGTATCTACCATTTTATGGTAAACCCAGTGCAATGACAGTGGCAGTACTGTTGCTAACTGGTAAGGGGAACACATAGTTGTGGCAATCAAAATTATTGGGCCACGGAGCTCATTTTTATAATTTCCTTCTATTGTGTTTGCAGACTTGATATGACAGACCCAGATGTTCTCACGGAAGTCCCAGCTGCTCTGAAGCGCCTTGCCAAGTATGTAGTACGTGGCTTCTATGGCACTGAACATTCTTTGGCCCTGGACATTCTGATTCGGAATCCATGTGTGAAAGAGGAGGACATGTTGGAATTGCTGAAGTTTGATCGGAAGCAGCTCCGAGCTGTTCTCAACACTCTGAAAGGGGACAAGTTCATCAAATGCAGGATGAGAGTGGAGACAGCCTCAGATGGCAAGACCACCCGGCACAACTTCTATTTCATCAACTACCGCCTGCTGGTCAATGTTGTGAAGTATAAACTAGACCACATGAGGAGGAGGATTGAGACAGATGAAAGAGATTCCACCAACCGAGCCTCCTTCAGATGCCCGATTTGCTTTAGCACCTTCACAGATTTAGAGGCAAACCAGTTGTTTGATCCCATGACAGGTAAGGTACAAGCATTCAGTTCATAAGGAACCCAACTGGGTTGGACAAATTTTTGGTGCCTTATCTGAGCAGGTTGAAGCTAATGTGGGAACAAACCACCTAACTTGGTTAGTCCATGTGATTGATCCATGTTAACAGATGGCTTGGAAGCACGGAAGCATCTTACAGGCTTCATGTTGCCTATGTCTGGCTAAAGGAGATGAAAAAGCCTTCTGGAATTACCGTATTTTTCGCTCTATAAGACGCACCAGACCACAAGACGCACCTAGTTTTTGGAGGAGGAAAACAAGAAAATAAATATTCTGAATCCCAGAAGCCAGAACAGCAAGAGGGATCGCTGCACAGTGAAAGCAGCAATCCCTCTTGCTGTTCTGGCTTCTAGGATAGCTGCGCAGCCTGCATTCGCTCCATAAGATGCACACACATTTCCCCTTACTTTTCAGGAGGGGAAAAGTGAGTCTTATAGAGCAAAAAATACGGTAAGTCTTAAATGCATCTTGGTAGAACGCTCTGCCTCATGAGACCAGGGCCCTGCAGGATCTGATTTCTTTCCGCAGGGCCTGTAAGACAGAGTTGTTCCGCCTGCCCTTTGGCTTGGAGCCAATTTGATTCCCTCCCTCCCTCCCTTTCTTTCTTTTTCCTTTTCCTTCTCCTCCTGCGATGAGGCTACATTTTAATATTTTAATGTCTCATTATTTTAATGTTGTATTTTAATTTTGTTTTTAAGTTGTAATCATTCAACTTGTTTTTATTATTGCTTGTTAGCCGCCCTGAGCCCGGCCTTGCCTGGGGAGGGCAGGGTATAAATAAAAATTATTATTATTATTATTATTATCATCATTCCAATATCATTGTGCTTTTTCCTTTTGGTATTCTGAGGGAAATCTTTTTAATAATAAATTATTCTACTTAAAATGCTACTTAGTTGTATCTCTCTTACTTCATAGCAGCTTCTCTTCTTAGGACTTTTTCGCTGCACCTTTTGTGAGACTGAAGTGGAGGAAGATGAATCGGCAATGCCCAAAAAGGATGCACGGACGCTTGTGGCACGGTTTAACGAACAGATAGAACCTATCTATGCACTCCTCCGCGAGACTGAGGATGTTAACCTAGCCTACGAATTACTTGAACCTGAGCCTATGGAGATTCTCGCGCTGAAACAGAGGTGGGCTTGGGGTACTGAACCTTCTGCACCTGGTACTGGTGTGTTGATATTCAAACATCCTTTTGGTGTTGGATATGTTAGGACTGCTCATGTGGCCCAGCCTTCCTTTGCACAACCTGTTGTGAGAAGAATCAGGATGCATTTAGTCTGCAGCTAAAGGGAAAGAAGACAGACCGCTGAAGAAGTAGAACTCTGTAGTGTGGCACGTAAGGATTAGTTGCTTAGCAATGTGTATTCCCAATCACTTTGTCTGTTATGACACTGGGATTACTTAAGATCCTACAGTGAGACCACAACAGTCAAATTCCTATGGGTAGCTAATTTTTTAAGCGAAGCCTTAAGTTAGGGTGGCTAACCTTTTTTTTTTTAGCTTGAGAGCAGCATTTACCCTTCACCAACCCTCCAGGGGAAAGTATGGCCTCCTCACACCCACAATATGTTGCACACGACCCTCACCGTTCTCAGAAGATCAGCTGATCAGCAGATTGCTTCCTCTCTGTTCATCAGTCTGGTGACTAAGGAGTGGAGAATTCCCATTTCCACTGCGCTGCTAAACTCCACCCACCCCAGTTCTGTCTACCTTATTTGTTTAGTTATTTCTGTTTCCACCACCCATGTCGGTGAGGCCTTGGGGAGTGAGAAGAAAATGGGGGTGGTGGATCAGGCCCCTGAACTGAAGCTTAGTCACCCTGCCCTAAGTGTTTGAAACTAGACTCTTGAAAAGAACAACAAAAACAAAACACTTGCTTTAACAATACAGCTGATATAAAGGTGTCCATAATCCAATAACTTGTTCCAAGAAGAGGTGCTAACCATTCGTCTTCTAATGTTACAATTTTTCTCAAGACACTTATGCCCATTTCATTTATATATAATAACTGCAAATATGTTGTTGTTGCCGTCAATTCTTAGTCGTGACTAACTCTTTGTGACCTCATGAATCCATGCTAGGCAAAGATGATACTATCCACTTGTTACAGATTACATTGCTGATATATTAAATTAGGGCTTATCCCTACACATGACGCAAGACTAGGTGATAGAAGCCTGAGGTGATAAAATGGATTTTACCAGGCCTAATGTCCCACCCATGCACATGTAACAAACCCCAAACTGCCTGAAGGTTTAAGAAACAAAACCCAAATACATCAGAAGATAGGTACTAGCCCAGACTGCTCCTTGGTTGTACCAATTTATACTCAGAGGTAAATTAGTTTTAACGTATAGGAACTTACAGGAATCCTTCAGCTATAGTCTGAAGTGATACTGGCTGTTATATCACCTCAGAACTCTTCCACCTCTCTCTGCTATGTGTGTTTAGAACAGACTTTTATTTAGACAATATATGCGTATCCCTAATGGTTCCATTATCTGTCTTTATACAGTGGCGCTCCTCTTCATAATCCAACATTAATAAACATATAGTGATACTTATATCCCCCAGTTGAAATTTCCAGAAATTCCTGAGATAAAGACACTGCTGCGAAATCTGCATGGTTTATGGGATCATTCTATTTATTTAATTACATTGATTAATCACCCCGCAAAGCAATGTTCTGAGAGCCACAAATCTAGTAAAACACCAAAATCACAGTCCAGAACTCTTATGAAACAAACAATCCACATCAGAGCAGAAGCTAAAAAAATTTTTAACCGTAATCACACCTAATAACAGAGCCACAATTTTTTCCTTGTAGATCGAAAATGTAGAACGCTGTAAGTGTGATTTAACAGGTCAGTTTATTTAAATGAGTGAAAATACCTGTGTTAGCAAAGTGTTGTGTTTTATAGACTGGGATGCGAATGGCGCTGTGGTCTAAACCACTGAGCCTATTGGGCTTGCCGATCAGGTCAGCGGTTCGAATCCCCACGACGGGGCGTCCCAGCTCCTGCCCACCTGGCAGTTCAAAAGCACGCCCGTGCAAGTAGATAAATAGGTACCACTGTGGCGGGAAGGTAAACTGTGTTTCTGTGCACGCTGGCTTTTGTCACGGTGTCCCGTTGGGCCAGAAGCAATTTAATCATGCTGGCTATGAGCACCGCAACCCCATAGTTGCCTTTGACTGGACATAACTGTCCAGGGGTCCTTTACCTTTTTTTTACCTGTGTTTTATTATTGTCTACAGCAAGGAGCGGGCTGCCGGTGCTTTGGCAAACAGCAGTCTATCAAGTGGGCAGCACAGGGAGGCCTGGTCTACAAAGGGACCCTCTTATGAGGACTTGTATACCCAGAATGTCATCATCAGCATGGAGGACCAAGAAGATGTGCATCAGCCAGCTAAGGAAGGGAAGCCGCCTAGAGAGAGACCGGTTTGGCTGCGTGAGAGCACAGTGCAAGGGGCTTACGATCCTGATGAAGTGAAAGAAGGTAAGAAAGCTAAAAAGCAGTGATTCATGAACAGGTAACCTCAGTACTTGACTACTGCAGCGCCCGTCATATGGGACTACCCTTGTGCGTGCTGGAAGCTCCACCTGGTGCAAGATGCTGCAACTAGACTCTTGATGGGAACAGACTCTCGCCAGTACATATCAATCCGTCAGTCCTATCAATCAAATCTTTATTACAGTCATAGACCAGCATAAGTAGGGTGGGGTACGATCATTTAAAATCTGTAAAACGTTTTGGTTAAGCTAAAATTATTAAAAACAGATGGTATATATAAAAGACTATAGGAATCTAAAAGAAACTAAAAGAGTCTAAAAGAAGGGTTAGGAGCATTAAACGAATGTGAAAGTGCATAAAACATTATGACTACCAATTTACAAAGCACTCTGATATGGTAAAGGTAAAGGGACCCCTGACCATTAGGTCCAGTCATGACCGACTCGGGTTGTGGCGCTCATCTCGCTTTATTGGCCAAAGGAGCCGACATACAGCTTCTGGGTCATGTGGCCAGCAGGACTAAACTGCCTCTGGCGAACCAGAGCAGCGCACGGAAACGCCCTTTACCTTACCACCTTACCTATTTATCTACTCGCACTTTGACGTGCTTTCGAACTGCTAGGTTGGCAGGAGCAGGGACCAAGCAATGGGAGCTCACCCCATCACAGGGATTCGAACTGCCAACCTTCTGATCAGCAAGTCCTAGGCTCTGTGGTTTAACCCACAGCGCCACCTGCGTCCCTCACTCTGATATGAGTGTTCATTAAATCTAGTTTTTGGTACTGGTCATCATCCGACGAATTTTGAACGCTGCTGTGCAGAACCTGGCAACACTGTATGTTATAGCAGGGCTGGTAACTAAAAGTAGCAGGGAGATATAGAATTGTCCTGTGAGCCCTGGATACTTAGGGAGTAGTGGGGAGATGAGGCTAATACGAATGTCTCTATAACATAGGCATTGGAGAAGCACATGCTCTATTGTTTCTATTTGTCCAGAATTACAGGGGCTCTGAGTAAGCAACGCCAGTACATAACCTCAGAGCTTAAAAGCTTGCACTGGCTGCCCATGTTATGGAGGCAGGTTTAATGCTCTCATATTAATTTCCAAGGTCCTTAGCAACTTGGGTTCATGATATCTTAAGGAGCGCCTGATCCCTTATACCCCTGCCCGTTCATGGAGATCGTTGGAGAAATTAGCTGAATGGTTCAAAACTACTAGAAGCTGTGCCTTCAGTGTTGTGGGCCCAAGCCTGCGGAACTCCCTCTCAATTGAGATTAGATAAGCAAACTCCTTACTGAACTGCAGGCACGTAACAAAGACTTCCTTATTTCAGCGGGCATTTTAATGTACACTTAGAAATTCTGAGTATTAAGCAATATATCAATATCTGAAATTTAAACAGATCTGGGAGAAATAAAGAAGTGAAAGTGCGTAATTCAGAATGGGGAAGTGTGTGCTCTACATATTTGTGCACATGCGAACACACTGTCTTAGTGCTTACGCCTGTTAAAGTAGCTGCCTTCTCAGAGATGTGTAAAAAGTGTGATTAGTTTACGCTCCTTAGAACATTTACACCAGGCATAGGCAAACTCGGCCCTCCAGATGTTTGGGTCTACAACTCCCATCATCCCTGACCACTGGTCCTGTTAGCTAGGGATGATGGGAGTTGTAGTCCCAAAACATTTGGAGGGCCAAGTTTGCCAATGCCTGATTTACACTGTTTGTTTTCTAACACTGAAGTCTCAGTGACAGATGCTCTGCCCCAGGTTGATTTTTAGAACTAAAGATTTTCGGAAGGTTGAGTTCCAGAAGGCTTAGTTCATTGCAGCAAAACTAACAATGTCTTGTGGGACATCTGTAGGACTTAAAATTGACATGATGCTTTCAGAAAGCTTGGAAGCAATTTATGCACATTATCTTACTGTAATTCTCACTACAACCATTTAAAGTAGCCTGGTACTATGATCCCTATATTTCCCATTGGGATGTGGGGTCAGACTGAGCAACTGGGTTGCATAAGGCTGACTGATTCATGATCAAGGTGAGATTCAAGGCACGATTTTCCTGATTTATAATGCAATCTCTTAGCTGCATTATACCAGCTTACCTTAGAAACCAAAATGTTGGTTGTGGCATTGCACTTCTTAGTGTAACCACACCTTTGTGGGGTTTAATCCATCCCCAGTTTCACAGGTTTACCACATTTCCTAACTGGGAATGGAAAGAGGACTGAAGATACCTCTTCCCTGCGGTGTTGTTCTTTCTACGTACAGAGAAATTTCTCATAGAAGAACATTCAGATATTCATCTTCCCACCCCCACCTTTGAAATTACATAGTACAAGAAAAGGTACACCACTTTGCTCAGTTTATAGCAGGGGTCAGCAAGGCTTACCGGGCATGGGCCAGATCACTCCCACAGAGATCCTCTGTGGGCCAGACTGGCACAGCGCGATGCCGGAAATCGCTTCTGCGCATGCCCAGACCCCGGAAATCACACCTGAGCCTCTTGGGCTTGCTGATCAAAAGGTCAGTGGTTCAAATCCCCGCAACAGAGTGAGCTCCCATTGCTCTGTCCCAGCTCCTGCCAACCTAGCAGTTCGAAAGCTTGCCAGTGCAAGTAGATAAATAGGTACCGTTGTGGTGGGAAGGTAAACGGTGTTTCTGTTTGCTCTGGTTTCCATCACGGTGTCCTGTTGCACCAGAAGTGGATTAGTCTTACTGGCCTCATTACCCAGAAAGCTGTCTGTGGACAAATGCCGGCTCCCTCGGCCTGAAAGCGAGATGAGCGCCGCAACCCCATAGTCGCCTTTGACTGGAATTCATCGTCCTGGGGTCCTTTACCTTTTACCTTTGGTATCGCAGCAGTAGCATGTAAAATTGCTTCCCTTGTTTTCTTGCAGGTGGTCAAGACACAGATATGTTACAGGAAGGGGAAGAGGGTCAGGCTGCCCTAGACAATAATGAGGAGGTGATGCAGGCTCTGCTCATCCACGAGAAGAAAACCCCCTCTGCCTCTGCAGCTGCCATGGGAGGTATCGCCCCACTATCTGCCACCAATGCCAGTGACTCTGAGAGCGAGACGAGCGAATCGGATGAGGACTCCCCTCCCCACGTCGCCCCGGCTGCAACAACACTCTATGGGCTGACAGAGGAAGATGATGATGATGAGTTTGAGGTGGTGACGGAAGACCCCACTGTCATGGTGGCGGGACGCCCATTTTATTATAGTCAAGTAACCCAACGACCTGAGCTGGTGGCCCAAATGACTCTGGAGGAGAAAGACCAGTACATAGCGATGGGCCAGCGGATGTTTGAGGACATGTTTGATTAGCTCCCTTCTGCTTGTGTGCAGCATTTATAGATGATAGTCACCTGGAAATTCTGGAACAGAGCAAAATACTGAATTATATTCCCATACATTCTGAGTTAATTCAATTGTTCTTTACATTTACACAGAAAATGCCACATGAGTAATCAGTCAGACTAAAGAGGCGGCCAGCCAAAGATGTATGAGAGTGTGAGAGCTTGCTGGGCAATCTGGATTCCCTTCCTCACATATTTGTGGGCAGAGCTACCTTCTGACTGAAAGTTTCCAGAGCCATTCATTTCCATGTACTTAATAATTGTTTGCTTTTGATCTGGGAAATAGGAATGCCCTTTTGATTGCTTGTTTTTCTGTCCTGAAAGGGGGTTGTAGAAGGCATTGTATTGAGTTTCCTAGATTCTGAGTCAGTGATAGCATCTCCTCTGAAAATAATATCTAAAGATGGTTGCTTCAGAACTGCATATGATCTGCTTGTAACTACTTAATGCTCTTCATACTTAATATATGGGTATTTTTTATTTCTTACAACCAGACAAGCAGGATATATATTTTGTTCCCCATGTACCATTTTCTTATAGATCCTATCGTTTCTAAAATCGATCTATAGCTGCAGAGAACATATGTACAATCATGTTAATTAATGGATAGTAAGCCACCACAGTGGTTGAAATAGCTTTTTGGAGAAAGAGGCACACTGGAGACAAGGAGACATTTTGGTTATTGCTGACTAGGAAGAAGTTGTCACAGCCTCAAAGAGCATGGTGAATTTTACAGTCTTGTAAAACTTGTCATTTTTGAAATTTATTTTCCAGGTCAGTGATTTTATTTCTTTGCTAACATGGGCGGATTCCTGGCTTTTCATGCAATCACTTCGCCTGCAGTGCTATAATTTTTAAATGAGTGGACTTGACTTCAAAATGTAAATTACCTTCAGTTCAGCCCCTACTTCCAGAAGTGCTCTTATATTTCCCATTGTATGTCATAATCTAAAGAAGGGCCAAAACTGTCAAAACATATTTTTCCCCATGCTGGATAGTCCATGTTGAATGAAAAACACTCTTCTCCATTCTTGGGCTCTGCCCAAAAAAGTGATTTTGCCTAAGTTAAGACTCGGGCTGGGGATATTTTAATTTGGCACAAACCCAAAAGGTTTTCTCGATTTTGAATGATTATGCAGAACTTTGTTGTGTGTCAGTATTTAGCACAGAACAGTCTATTTTATATATCCAGCAGTGCCTACACAAGCAAAGCTGATCTTGTAGTGTTTTACGTTTTAAAAACATTTACAGCTTTTAAAAATCATTGTTTTTCTTATTTGGCATTATAGTAGAGCAGAGTGGTAAAAGGACTGTGTATTTTAAAACTTTAGCATCTGCCACACACGCTGTTTTAATTTACTGAAATGGTACATGTTATCAGTCCCTTAAAATGTAAAACCGTTGTATACTGACCCTCTATGTTTTGTTAGTCTGTGAAGTTTCTCTTAAGATTTTATCTTTGGAAATTTTGATAGGTAATAGACACACAATCTTTAAACTATGGTCTAAATTTTTATTCCCTCTTAAAATAAAAAGGCACAAACAACGTGTTCCACTGAACAAATTAGAGCAGCTTGCTTTTTTCTTTTTTAGCTTAATGGGATAATACTTGTTGAAGAGTTCTTGTAATACCATGTTGCATGCAGACTTGCTAAGTAACGTGGCCTCGTTGCTGCTGGCTGGCTCATTTGCAGTATAGTGGGGAAATCCACCCAGATGGGCGGGGTTTTATTTATTTATTTATTTATCTAATGGTGCCATGCCCTGGCAATTGGAAACAATAGCTTGTCTACCCCACCTCTACCCCAGGTGAGGAGAGGATGACGACACGCAAAAGCCCAAGGGATCACCAAACCATGGTTTAGCATTGCAACTGCATTAAAACTCTTGCATTGCAGATGAGATCAGATCTGAAGCATAATTGTGGTATGAAGTAAGAAGTAGATTGTGAAGCTCTTTGAATGGTAAAACTATCTGTGTCTCAAGGATGTTTTAGACAAGGAATGTCTTCAGTATGTGGATCCATGAAGAAACAAATCTTATTTCCAACTGCCTTTATTCCTCCACATTTCCAATCCTCTCTTAGATTGGATTATATGACACTCAGTACTATGGAATTCCATCCAAGATGAGTTTTCAGAATGGTCCTGCCTTCCTTAGGGAAGTAGTTGCAGTTCTTTTAACCTGCATGTCCAATGGGATTTACTCTCAAGTTTGTGTGCATGGGTCATAACCTAAGAGCCTATAGATGTTTACTGAGAGATAATTTATTGGGGTTCACTCCCAACATAGAGTGCACATAGAATTGCAGACTAATACTGCAGATAAGTAAAGCATGTTGTTACAGACTGATTGCATTTATGAGTCTTGACATTCTAATTTTAACTAATTTCTTTTGGGCATCTGGTGTCCCAAAGGCCCAGGCAGGGTAAGTTATAATCTAAAAATGAATAATTAAAATGTTTCCAGCAGTCAGACTTCCTTGAATATGTCTGAGCTGGGTTTCAAGGAGACTAAGAGAAAAAAATGCTTCGCTGGTTCTCGGAAATCTAGTTCTATAACACAGGAAGCTGTTTTGTCTGGAAATGTCAAGTTCTTCTGCCCCGTTTTAAAAATCTCTTCTCAGGAACCAAGCCCCCACACACATATGTTTTGCTTTCTGAAATATGATTCATGCTGCTCTTGGATAGGCTTCATCGTGTTGCCTTCATGCGGTGACAGCAATCTGTGCACTGCTACCAAGTTTGCTGTAGCATTCGTACAATAGGCTATTGTTGAGTGGAGTGGCAGGGAGGTAACGCTCAGGATTGTGGCAATATATAACATGCTGACATGCAGGTGCTGCTGTACTCAAGGTTCTCTTTGCCGCCCACTCCTCACTACTTGAGTAAGGTAATGGAGTATAATACCAGCACAAACTCCTCATTGTGAACCTTAAAGCTCTCATCATCATCATTTTTTATTTGTATGTCGCCTTTCTACAGTTAAAAAAACAGTGCTCAAGGCAGCTTATAGCATAACAAGATTTACATAATTACAAAAGTCATAAACAATAAATAGGTAAAGGTAAAGGGACCCCTGACCATTAGGTCCAGTCGTGGATGACTCTGGGGTTGCGGTCCTGTACCCGGCGTACAGCTTCCGGGTCATGCGGCCAGCATGACTAAGCCGCTTCTGGCGAACCAGAGCAGCACACAGAAACGCCGTTTACCTTCCCATCGGAGTGGTACCTATTTATCTACTTGCACTTTGACATGCTTTCGAACTGCTAGGTGGGCAGGAGCAGGGACCGAGCAACGGGAGCTCACCCCGTCGCAGGGATTCGAACCACCGACCTGATCGGCAAGCCCTAGGCTCTGTGGTTTAACCCACAACGCCACCCGTGTCCCTTTTAAACAATAATTAAACCACATCAAAAAAATACACAACCAAATGGGAAACAATTTCCACATCTAAATCTAAAACTAAGAATACAGCATTAATATCACAGTTTAAAATGACATAGGTAAAAAATAACAGCAATTTAAACAAAAACAAAATGGAGCCCTTTCTGCGCAGCAGCAGCAACAGCAGTCCTTTATAGAGCCCATCAGTCCCCGCCCTGGCCAGGTGGTGAGTGGCAGGACTGGGGCCCTCAGGCGCTGAGCAGGGGAGTCCTCCTGGGTGGTCATCCCTACTCGAGTGTAGGCCGAGTTCCTGACAGGCTCACCCTATCTTTCATAGGTTTTCCTGAACATTTATGCCCCACTTTTCCATCTGAAATGTTACTACAATGATACCTTGGTTCTCGAACGTAATCCATTCTGGAAGTCCGTTCGACTTCCGAAACATTCGAAAACCAAGGCGCTGCTTCCGATTGGCTGCAGGAGCTTCCTTCACTCAAGCAGAAGCCATGTTGGATGTTTGGCTTCCAAAAAACGTTCGCAAACCGGAACACTTACTTCCGGGTTTGTGGCGTTTTGGAGCCAATGTGTTCGTCAATTAAGCCGTTCTGAGAACCAAGGTTCCACTGTATTGCTATTTAATGCATTAGTTGCTTAGCGCAGGGCAGTCTGGGAGAGTTACAATCCAGTTGAGAAAAGACAACATCAGCTGGACCAAATGCCATCAAATGCCCAGTTTTAATCTGGCACCTAAAATATGTCAGTGTCAGCAACAGACATGCGCCACTCATCATAATGAGCGTGGACATTGCCTTCCACCAGCCTTTTCCAACCTGCTACCTTCTGTGTTGAATGGGGATACCTGGAGTTCAGTTCAAAATATCTAGAGGGCATTGGCGAAGGCTGCCTTATCCTGACTCCCGGTGATCCATCTATGACCCAGTCCCTGGCAGCATTTCTGCATCACCCCAGGTAAGTCTTTTCACAATTTGACACCTGGAGCTGGAGGTAAGAGCTTGCTGTCCTTTTAGCTAGAGCGACTAGGGACAGAATCCGCTACAGTGGTACCTTGGTTTTCAAACTTAATCCGTTCCGGAAGTCCAAATCATTCCAAAACCAAGGTGCGCTTTCCCATAGAAAGTAACGCAAAACGGATTAATCCGTTCCAGACTTTGAAAAGCAACCCCTAAAACGGCAATTTAACATGAATTTTACTATCTAACGAGACCAGTGATCCATAAAACGAAAGCAATAAACAATGTACTGCAGTCACACAATCAGGAGCTGAACTGGGTTCCACAGTCACAAAAACAAAACAAAAAAGCCCCAAAAACAAAAACACAAATAGCAAAAACAGACAAACCTCAGTGTAACTCTGAAAACAGAAGTGTGGCACTCAACACGGAAGCGTAACACTAAAAACGGAGTGCGTTGGGCTTCCGAAAACTTTCACAAACCGGAACACTTCCGGGTTTGCAGTGTCTGGGTTCCAAGTTGTTTGAGTACCAAGGCGTTTGAGAGCCAAGGTACCCCTGTATTTTGCATGGTTTCATTTGAATGATTAGGTATTCTTCCGAGCCCAAGGGGAAGGTGGAAATTTGTTTTGGCACTGAGTTCCAACTCACTGGCAGCCCAGGAATCAAAGAGCTGTCTTCTCCAGGAGAGTGGGTGAGGATCTTCTAGGCCATAGAATAGGTGGCATAAAAATTGTTTACTAAGTAACCTGAGCTAGGGGATCTTGAAGAGAGTTCTCAATTTTGTGTCAAAGGAACATAGATCACTCACGATGTTCAGTAAATTGCAATTTTTCAATAACCCCCTCTTTCTTTGTGGACTCAGTGGAATCAGGGGAGGGGGCTGAGGTGGATTTTCTTATCCGGTATGGACATGTAGGCTTGGCACACCTCTAGGAGTAAGTCTTGACACTTGGAGAATGGCATCTTCAACATCTGGGCTGGGAGAACTTGTTCAACGACCAAAAGTGGAAGTGAAAGGTGAGAACTGGGAGAGATTTCCAACTGGCTTGTGGCAGACCATTGCAGAGAGGGATTCCAGTCTGTGGGCATGAAGGAGACTTGAAACATTAAAGGTAGAAGGCTTTGTAATGAGGGAAAGCTAAGCATTGTGTCTGGTGCATGGAGAAATAGTTTTATTCGTAGAGCTTGTAGTGGAAAGATGGCAAATACACCCGGCAGTGTGAAGAGTCTGTCCTGTTTTGTAGGAAACTCTAAGGTTTTATTACTGCTTGATGAAAAAGACTATCTTAGAGCATTTTTAATCAACTTTAGGGGAACTGCTGTGGCCTAATTTTGTAACAGGGGCTTTCTTGGCATATAAGTGTGTCGCAACTGCAGCATTATTCAAAATCTGTTATGAAACTTTAGATTTGCCTCTATATTTGGCATTCCATTCCCCCTTTTTTGTTGCTTTCTTGATGCAAAGCAATTATCATGATAACAGCAAAGAATATGTGAGGCAGGGGCTAGATTCCAGCAAATAAATTAGGATGAAAGACTCGAAACAGTTCTCTGCACATCTGTGCAGGCACTTAATTATTTAAGATGGATAATGAGAAGGGGGGAAACACCTATCTCCCTTTTCTATTTAAACTAATGTAGCAGGCTCTGAACAGGGAGGATTGGCAAAGGCAAACCACAGAAGGGGTCTTGAAAAATGAGAATGGAAGCAGTAGGCAAATGCCTCACCCACAGCTTCAAGCTGTTCATAGAATTTTCATAGATTTTTAAGACCAGGACAAATTGTTTAATTAGCTAGACTGATTTTCAGAGTTTTATTTATGCAGAAGACTCAACTGGCATTTCTTGAAGGAGGTCCAGGAAGTAGGCTTGAATTAGAGGATTTTCTTCACAGAAGGGATGGGAAACCAATTAAGAGAGGTCCCAATTTGGCCCAGTCGTCCCGCCCACCAGAATATACCCACCTGCTTCATACTGCTGACATAATATTTATTTTGATTATTTAATCAATTTATATTCAGCCCTTCTTCCCAAAGGAGCACAGAGCAGCAAACAAGAGACTTAACGTCATAAAAATAATTCCAGTACAGATGCAGATCTTAACTTAAAAGGCTTATTGGAAGAGGATCTTTAGTAGGCACCAAAGAGAGAATTCAAAAGCGTAGGTGCCTCAGTACTAAAAGCCCGATTCATGTGGGACAGAGAAGGATGTGGCTGCAAAGGAACAATCACAGAATCATAGAACTGTAAGGGACCAGTTCTAGTCATCTAGTCCAACACCATACAATGCGGGAATCTTTTGCCAAGAGCTTAAAGTGAGTTTGTGTTGGTTCCTTTGCATGTGGGGCTTGCAGCTTGCATATACATGGAAACATATTCATGGAAGACAATCTTACTTGGCTACAAGCAATTGCCAAAGAAGAATATATGGAAGAAGCACTGCTGAGAAATAAGCAAAACAAGTATTTCCCTAAGAATTCCTTTGAGAGCAGCTAGGATAGCGTTGATCCAGCAGATGTAAGATACATAGACTTCAGTATCTCCAATACCAGGGGCCCAGTCCACTTTTCTATTTAGTATTACTCACTTTTCTATTGCATTTGTTGTTGTTGTGGTTGTTTAGTTTAGTCGTGTCCTCCTCTTCGTGACCCCCTGGACCAGAGCCCACTAGGCCCTCCTGTCTTCCACTGCCTCCCGCAGTTTGGTCAAACTCGTGTTTGTAGCTTCGAGAACACTGTCCCACCATCTCGTCCTCTGTCGTCCCCTTCTCCTTGTGCCCTCCATCTTTCCCAACATCAGGGTCTTTTCCAGGGAGTCTTCTCTTCTCATGAGGTGGCCAAAGTATTGGAGCCTCTGCTTCAGGATCTGTCCTTCCAGTGAGCACTCAGGGCTGATTTCCTTCAGAATGGAGAGGCTTGATCTTCTTGCAGTCCATGGGACTCTCAAGCGTCTCCTCCAGCACCAGAATTCAAAAGCATCCATTCTTCGGCGATCAGCCTTCTTTATGGTCCAACTCTCACTTCCATACATCACTAATGGGAAAACCATGGCTTTGACTATACGGACCTTTGTGGGCAAGGTGATGTCTCTGCTTTTTAAGATGCTGTCTAGGTTTGTCATTTGCGTTACTCAGTTGTATACCTAAAAAAGTGAAGTGTGAATGTGACAGGCGTGTTTGCAAACACCCACTGGAAATAATCAAATCATTAGGCATTCTAAGGCAAGCCACCAACTGTAATATGGCGATAATGGTAATCTTAATGGGTAGAGCATCAAACTCTGCTCATCTCAGGGTAGCTGGTTCGAGCCCCACATTGGGCAAAAGATTCCTGCATTGCAGGGGTTGGACTAGATGACCCTCAGGGTCCCTTCCAACTCTACAATTATATGAATACTCCGAAAGTGCATCGTATATGATGGTAACAGAAGCACCACCAAATCAGGGAGTCCAGAAAAGCTGCACCTGAAGCTGGATTGGGTGGCTCCTGCGGACCAATCATACTGCTGCATTGTTCTAGGACTAATCAGACTACTGCATTCTGGATCCTATTGATCTAGGACCAATCAGACTGCTGCCTTTTGGATCCTATTGTTCCAGGACCAATCAGACTGCTGCATTCTGGATCCTATTGATCTAGGACCAATCAGACTGCTGTATTCTGGATCCCATTGTTCCAGGACCAATCAGACTGCTGCCTTTTGGATCCTATTGTTCCAGGACCAATCAGACTGCTGCATTCTGGATCCTATTGATCTAGGACCAATCAGACTGCTGCATTCTGGATCCCATTGTTCCAGGACCAATCAGACTGCTGCATTCTGGATCCTATTGTTCTAGGACCAATCAGACTGCTGCATTCTGGATCCTATTGATCTAGGACCAATCAGACTGCTGTATTCTGGATCCTATTGATCTAGGACCAATCAGACTGCTGTATTCTGGATCCTATTGTTCCAGGACCAATCAGACTGCTGCATTCTGGATCCCATTGTTCCGGGACCAATCAGACTGCTGCATTCTGGATCCTATTGTTCCAGGACCAATCAGACTGCT